ATGGCTAGAAATTGGCCTCAATGATTTGGGATCGAGGGGGATTATCCCTCTTTATCCTGCCTCATCTCGTGTAGGCCTGGACAGCCTTCGTAGGTGGGCCCCATCCGTCGTCTACCCCGACCGCAAATGCGGCCGGTGTAGGCGCTTTGTGGGACCTCCTTTTGTCCTGGCTGGGCCCCGCCGGCTAGGGCCCTTTCTTCTGGCACTCGTCTTGCTTCGCCGGCTCGTCTGTGTAAACCCCGGGGGTGGTGTCATATTTATGTGTGGTATGGTAGGACACGACTGAGCACTGGGCTCCAAAGCGTTTTTACCAAAGTCGCTCCATAAGCCAGTCTAGGTGATCTATGTCGTAATACCAACAACATTTAAAAAATAGCCGTCTCTTTTTAATTTTTGGCTAGGGGAAATATTGAATTAAAATTGAGTAGTAACCAGCCGATAACGCAGTTTACTTTTAAATAACTAACACGGTTGATATTACGGGTATCCCTAATTTAAACCGGGAGATTTAAATATGTCAATTGATGTATTTAAATTATCTACAGCAATATTTAAAGTAAAAAACATAAATTTACTGTAAATCTGTTAATTCCTTTAAATATTAGTGGTTATTAGAAAAAAAAACTGACATAATGGCTAACTCATCGGTTACATGTCGATGACCATTTACCATTTACATACCTCAAAGTAGCAGAAGAAAACCACATACTGCAGATGATTTGTATTTTGTTTTTTAGTTTTGTATGTACTATCACAGACATTGTATTATCTTTTGTGATTTATATAATCTCCAACAAAAACTACACTACATTGTGTTCACATCATTGCAGGAAAACATGTCACAAAAAAAAATGCAAAAACAATACAAATTTATTTCTACTCAATGGGCAAAATTAGATATTTTTAGATTATTGCACAGCAACACTATGACCAGCACTCTGTTTGATATCGAAGTTCTTTATCCATTCTCTGAATAAATCGGATGGCTTCATCCTCACTCATCTTTCCACAATCCATACATATGCTAATAAAAGCCATTTTCACTTCTTGAGGCATGAACTTTGCGTTACCCGCAACAAAAATGTAAGCATTCTTACTTAAAGCTTCCCAAATAATACTTTTATTTTCCTTAATTTTGTCCTGAACATAGCTAAAAATAAAAATGTTTTAATTAGTTATAGCTATTTCGAAATTAAAATCACTTATTACATTTTACTGTCCTGGTCCCTTGAAAATGCACATATCAAGTTTAACTTTTCTTCTGCGTGAAGTTTTTCAAACTCGTCTCTGCATAAAAAGTCTTTACTTTTATAACGACACCCATAAAAGAGGATTAAATTGGTTGGATTCGAATTATTTTCTTTGTACCTCTCAAATATGTAACTTCTAAAAGGAGCTACTCCAGTGCCAGGTCCTACCATTATGACAGGAAAATCCTACGGGTTTCATTAAAAATGTTCATAAAAGGTAAATATACCTGTTATCGTCAGGTTAAGGAAAATGCCAAGTTCGTCATACCGATTCTGCAAATACAATTTTTAAGATTGCTATTTTGTATCCTCTAATTTTTTATGTATATTTTGTAAAATCATATAATTAATTTTTTAATATGTACTTTGTATTACTGATCATTATGAGAAATTTATGAATAATCGTTGTATTACTGTATGAATGTTCATTACATTGAATGAAATTAGAATAAATTATTAAAACAATAATTTAAAATTCATTAATCACTGGAAAAATCATAAAATTTCACGCTATCGTATTAATTCACGATCTTCGCATATTTTATATTAACAATTGGTATTCTCATCTATATCGTCATTATTTTGTTGCTTTTGCTTCCTCAGGAATCATACTTTTGCCTTTCCGGTTGCAATTCTGAAACTTTAACTTACTTGCCCTTGACATTGCCACAACTAGCACATTTTCTTTGGATTTCTATTTTTTTTATTCTTGATAGAAGTGTCAATTCAACAAAGTGCATTTTTAAGACGTGATGGAAACTCATCTCATTTTGTATAAATCAAAAGTCTAGTTTTAACAATTGTAATAGGCCCATTCAGTAGAATTTTTTTGCATATTCTAAAAGTTAGTATGCCAAAAATCATTTTGTTTCAACAAGAAATGTGCGACATAAATTAATGAAAACAGAGCACGGAAAAACGTTGAGCAACCATTGCCTGACGTCATAATAGCGGTATGGGCGATTTAGAGCACAATTTTCAACTTTATGCTGGAAAAAAAATTCTACCCCATCTAAATGTTCGTGTTCACAAAAAATTTGAAATACGTCAGCGAGCGGAACCTATAAGCAGTTAAGAACCACTCTCGTTTTTCTTTGGTTGCCCATCTAATGATGTAAACATCATTATTTGAACATTTAGAGCAGAATTTTAAAATTTATGCGAAAAAAAAATTTCTACCCCATCTAAACGTACCCGCTCACAAAAATTTCGAAATATGTCGGCGAGAGGGACCTATAAGCAACTTAATAAGAATTGTCAATAATATGTAAATTTTTATTAAACTAATATGACAAATATTGAATATTATTTTTTTTTTATATCTCAACAAGACTTTTATATTGTTAGTGAGACTCAAAAATTTACTATTAACTCCATCTCTTATCGAGGGAGTAAGTCTCCGTGATACGTGTACATTTTTTAAGGAAATCATAGCAATCACACAGAAATCAACCACAATCCTACAACTTTGAGAGCAAATCACTAAATTGATCCACAATCCTGTCATCAATACCACAGTCAATACCAGTCTTTTCCTAATTCACAGAAATCACGCAAAAAATGTTGCGGGCAATATTTACATTTCTTTATAGTTGTCGCCAAATCCTTGTTGCTTGTGTGAAAGCGAACAATGTAATTACTATTTACTTAATTTATCGTTAGACGGGAAAAGCAATAACACTGACAAATACTAGGTCACTGACCATTGCGAGTACATCCTTTAGGAACAAAATCAAAATTTACTCACCGAATTTTTTGGAAAATTGAAACTGCCATGTTTTATCCAGGCAGTGATCTCGTCACCTTTTTGCAAGCCAGCCAGATAATTAGAACATAGGCCAATCCTTTCTTTAACTAATTTTGTCTTATATTTGACTATGGCAAGCAGTATGTGAATTTCGTCGTGAGCCTTATAGCTACTGGCAATGGAAAATTCTCTAGGCTTTATCGGAGGTATTATTTCCAGCAATAATTCTTGCGTGAGATTCTTGGTAGCATGAGGGAAGTCCCTTAGAACTTCTACTATATTTCTTTTCACCCTGTTTACGTAAGTGTACAAGTCATCTTGGCCTTCGGCACTAGTAAATTCCAGACACTTTTCCTTTTCTAATTCGCTGTCTGTTATCTGGGCCAGGACGTTGAAAGTGTGTCGTCTAGGGATTGCCATTAGATCAAAGTACTCTTCACAGAGTTGGTCAAATGTTATATTTTGTTTTAAAATATCAGGTACAGGAATTTGGGAATTGTTTTCTGAAATGTTTAATACTGCGCTAGACTGTATATCTACGCTATTTGACACCAGCACTTCTTTAAATTCTTCTATTTGCCAATTTAAATTCTTTGGCCTCAAAACTACTAAATCGCCGGGGGCATACTCTTGACCATCAGTTTTTAATTTCAGTAATCGTACGTCCTAAAAGAGAACAATTTTGTATAATACCGTTTTATCTTTGACAATCACAGTTTACTTTAAACATTTTTTTAAAAAAGATCAACTCATTTTTAACTTCAAATTGAATTTGTATCAACTACTGAATATTTATTTAAAATATTACTTGAAAATGTTCAGAGCTAGTCAATCGCTCATTATCCACTACTACTGCTGTAAAGTCCGTATGCCTTCTAGTGGAATAATAAATTGACTGATTTTTGTTTATACTATTTTTAATGGCTGAATTAACAGAAACATTCCACCTAAAAATATAAATTAAAAATAATTTAAATGTTAGAATGTATGACTCAATACCTTGGTTCTGTTTTGTAATCTTTGGGTAAAGGTTGAATGCTATTAGGTAAAGGATAATTTATTAGCAACTCTGTCCATAATTGTTTCTCCCAAACATCAGCAGCTCCGTCATATCCTAGGTCATGCTGATCATCACCTAAGCCAAGTGGTAAGATAGCTTGAGCACCTAACTGTAAAAGTCTTTTATGCAGTCTTTTTGCAACATAATTAAATTTTTCGTAACTAGAATCTCCTAGACCAATTACGCCAAATCTAAAATACAATGAAAACAAATAAGGGTTATCTCTTTGTAATTTGATATCTACCTTAAATTACATAATAAATTTTTAGGCAAATTTTTTCTAAGCAAAAATTTCCAAAATCCTTTCATATTGTCTGGTTCTTCACCCTGACCAGTAGTAGAACATACAAACACAATACATCTTTCATTTATTAATTCTAAAACATTATATTCATTCAAAGAATTTACTGTGCTTCTAAAATAAAACCGTTTAGAACCCCTCCAAATTCTCTCAGCTAAATCTTGTGCGTTACCCGTTTGAGAACCATAAAGAATTGTTAATTTTTCGTTTTGAAATACCATACTTAGTACTTACAAAAATTTACCCACATATCTCTACTTTGCAAAATTAACTAAAAAAAAAATAAAAACAATAGTAATATAGGCAATAAGTAACTAATTATATTACATTAATTTACAATTTTTCATTTTTTTTTTTGGTTAAGCACTGCACTGCACACGCATAAGATGATTATTTCCTGATTATTTTCGATATTTGTGTTTGGATTTTGGACCCTGGACCCAAGGACTCTTTTGTATAGATGGATGATAGATCCACAGATTCGGCAGTACACTATCGGTCAGATCCTTCGCGCCGCGCGCGCGCGCCATTATTCTATGGCTAGAAATTGGCCTCAATGATTTGGGATCGAGGGGGATTATCCCTCTTTATCCTGCCTCATCTCGTGTAGGCCTGGACAGCCTTCGTAGGTGGGCCCCATCCGTCGTCTACCCCGACCGCAAATGCGGCCGGTGTAGGCGCTTTGTGGGACCTCCTTTTGTCCTGGCTGGGCCCCGCCGGCTAGGGCCCTTTCTTCTGGCGCTCTTCTTGCTTCGCCGGCTCGTCTGTGTAAACCCCGGGGGTAGTGTCATGTTTATGTGTGGTATGGTTGGGTAGGGTACTGCGGCTATGCAGCCTGGGATGCGCTTTGCTAAGGTGGCCCTTAGGCTAGCGCGGGAGGGGAGGGTTAAGGAGGGTATGGGGGGGGTGTATGTGTGTGTGTGTGTGTGTGTCGTTGTCTTCGTTTCTTGATCCTGGCTGTCTCTGAAACAGAAAAGGTTAGCGGGCAGGGGGGGGTCATTGGGGTGGTCACCCAGGGTCAAAAAGTTGGTGTCTAGGTCTTTTGTGTTTGTCGGTCACGTCGGGTAAGTAGCCAACGGCTTGCCTGAGGAGGGGGTCAGATCCTTCGAACATATACAACTGGATGTAGCCTTCTATTCTCCCCACCCAAGGGCTTGGCGTGTTACTAGGCGAAGAGAGAGATATAGAAGATTTTTGCTACCTCTCTCTCATCGAATGCGATTAGTTGTTCCTGTCATGTGGAATCAATCGTGTTCCAGTTACGTTCGGCGTTCGGTGAGAGATAGATAGCAAGTACATAGCAAATACCTTCATACCATTATCTCTCGCTTCGCCTTGTAATGCGCCCTTCCATTGGGAGGCTACCTCCAGTTACAGTAGTATATGCTCGAAGGTCAGATCCTGGTCAGATGTATGCTTGGACCTTAGACCGCGCGCCAATATTCCATGGCTAGAAATTGGCCTCAATGATTTGGGATCGAGGGGGATTATCCCTCTTTATCCTGCCTCATCTCGTGTAGGCCTGGACAGCCTTCGTAGGTGGGCCCCATCCGTCGTCTACCCCGACCGCAAATGCGGCCGGTGTAGGCGCTTTGTGGGACCTCCTTTTGTCCTGGCTGGGCCCCGCCGGCTAGGGCCCTTTCTTCTGGCGCTCTTCTTGCTTCGCCGGCTCGTCTGTGTAAACCCCGGGGGTAGTGTCATGTTTATGTGTGGTATGGTTGGGTAGGGTAGTGCGGCTATGCAGCCTGGGATGCGCTTTGCTAAGGTGGCCCTTAGGCTAGCGCGGGAGGGGAGGGTTAAGGAGGGTATGGGGGGTGTGTATGTGTGTGTGTGTGTGTGTGTCGTTGTCTTCGTTTCTTGATCCTGGCTGTCTCTGAAACAGAAAAGGTTAGCGGGCAGGGGGGGGTCATTGGGGTGGTCACCCAGGGTCAAAAAGTTGGTGTCTAGGTCTTTTGTGTTTGTCGGTCACGTCGGGTACGTAGTCAACGGCTTGCCTGAGGAGGGGATTGTCATGTCTAGCGGCTACGTCAAATCGTTTCTCCGCGTTTTGTCTTATTGTCTGTGTAGCGTTTGTGTATTGTAAGTCTCGTAATATGTCAGTGTTTCTTACGTACCAGGGCGCGTCGGTGGCCGTGCGGAGGGCTATGTTTTCCACAGCCTGTAATGACTTTAAGTGGCTTTTTGCCGCGTGACCCCACGCCGTGGAGGCGTAGGTTAGCTGCGGTTGAAGTACCACCTTGATAAGCGTTCGCTTATTCCTTAAACTGAGGGTGTTTCCACCTTTGAGTAAGGGATAGAGCCTAGCCCTGGTGGTCTTCGCTCGCGCCACCGTCTCCACGATGTGCGGTTTCCACGTGAGACGCTGGTCCATCGTCACGCCCAGGTATCGTGTTTGTCGATTCCAGGAGATAGGTTCCTGGGATAGTGTCAGTCTGTCGAGGTTTTGTGGGATTTTTCGTTTGGTAAAAAGGATAGCCGAACTTTTGTTGGGATTAATTTTGACTTTCCACCTGTTGCACCAGGTTTCAAGTTGGTCTAAGGAGCTTTGGAGGAGGTAGACGGAATATCTAGGATCTACGGATTGGGATGTGATTGTCAGGTCGTCGGCGTATAAGTATATGTTGGTGTTGGGGGGATGTGGGATGTCGGAGTTGTAAATGGTGTATAGGTGTGGGGACAGGACGGTGCCCTGGGGGACACCGGCCTCCATGGGACGGGTGGTGGAAAGGGAATCTTGGATTTGGATGCGGAATTTTCGGTGGTGTAGGTAGGATTTTATGAGTTTGGTAAAGGATATGGGATATTGGTTGGTGAGCATTTTCATCAGTAGGCCTTCATGCCAAACCGTATCGAAGGCCTTTGCGACGTCCAGGAAGACAGCACCAGTGTACTGTCCCCTGTTGAAGGCCGCCGTGATGTGCTCGGTAAGGCGAAGGGACCTTAGACCATCTATCATACCAAATGTAGTATGACCGATTTACAAATAATGAGATCCACAGATTTAAGTGTGATGAGAATGAGTAAATCATTTGCTGACTGTTTTGGAACTTCTAAGAACCGCATTTTAAAGAACCTATTGTGTTATGAAATATATGTATATTTGGATTTTAGAGGCATGAAAAGAGAATGTCGGAGGGTTTGGACCTTTTAGGTTGGCCAGAAATTTGTATTCACGGACTATATTCAGCTGCTAAAGTAGTCTATAATAGATTTTTTTTAGATATTAGTAGCCCGGCCTAGGATTCTGGAAAAGTAATCCCACAAAACATCGAGGTGTTAAGGTGAAAATTCGAAATATTTAGAATTATTCAAATTTCGTGGCTGAAAACGTACATAGGTATTGTATTTTTGAAACCGAGTGAGTTGCGCGAAACTAAATGTGTAGGATGTAGCTAGTACCATGCGAAACATCGCCATAATTTTAAAAATGTTGTCACCGCCGTTCTTAGTGGTGAAAATTCGAAATATTTGGAATTATTCAAATTTCGTGGCTGAAAACGTACATAGTCGGATGACCCAAAAAAAAAAAAAATATTTTTTTTTCGTGTCTTGTGAAAATATGTTAGTTTATCATGTTTTAAGAGCCCCCTCAAATCACGTCAAAAAAATTTTTTTTAGAGGTCGCTCAAGATTTTAAAAAATTTCCAAAATCGTCAAATATAATTTTTTTTTTATTTTTTTGTCTATAAAGGTTTTAGAAAGTGAAAGGATTGTGTCTAGATCAGTACGGAGAAGAAATAAGAATGGAACAGATAAGTTAATTTCCGTAAATCCATATTGTTAGTGCCAATAAACGAATAAAATATAAACTATGTCAAACGCGAAATCTCATGTCACGTCACGTTAAATCCACGTTACATCGAACTTCCATGAGTCCATGAGTGTGTCAGTGTCAGTATCATGCATAGAAAATATGGTACTAACGTACTATATTTTCTATGATCTATGGTATCATGTCAAATCAAAAAGTTTCTGTCCTGTCATTTTCTCTCGGTTTTTTCTTATGCTTGCAGCCCCACAGCAACTCATAGTTAATTCTTAATTCTGTAATAAATTTGGGGGTATTTTTGCCTTTTTGCTATATCATGGAAATCATGGGATACAACCAAAGAGGATAAATTAGTTTATCCTCTGATACAACTAGACTTGCACTTGATATGTTGATAATTGTTACGTCACTATAGGCACACATACACAATACAGACTAGTTTCATATTCATAAAATAAAAGTGAATTGCGGACAACCTTCAGAAAAATTCGTTGTGAAATAGTGTCTTAATCGTTTCAAAATGTTGTTATTACTCTTGAGAACGTCTGTTAGCGCAAACGATAATGAATGTATTCCAAATGTTTTGGTTACTTTTTAAAAAAATTATTCGATATTATTTTTATGGCAATTATCAGGATGTGCAACAGTAACAGTGTGAGTGAAAATGATAAAGTGTGTCCCTACGCCTTTAAAGCGTTTAATTACGAAAAGATTTTACCAAATCCAAATTCAAAAGTTCCTTTCCCAAGAAGTGGCCATCGGATAGGAGCCGATTCATCCAATTTTTACTCATTTGGAGGTTATAATCCCCTAGTAAGGGATGAGGTGGAACACCACGAGGACGACGACTTTTGGGTGCAGTCTTATCCCTTATTTCAAGAACTGTGGAAATTTAACTTTGCTTCAAGGCAGTGGACGCGATTTAGAAACAGCCAGACGTTGCCAATGGAATTGGCATCTAACGCTCTTGTTCTCCACCGGAATATCTTGATGGTATATCTTTGTGTAAGGTTTATATTGCTTAAGTGCAGATTGCCAAGATTAGGGATTTAAAATTACAGAACTAAAGAACAGTTGCCTATCCTACTTCGTAATCAATATTTTAGTTTTTCTTATTATTATTTGATTAATAAAATGAAGAAATGGATTTATCACTAATTAAAAATAAAATATAAATGAAACTGTATTTTTAATTAGCATTGATTCAAGTGATATCCTCAAAATATGTAAACATCTGTTTGCACATTTTTTAAAAAGAGAACTGGAAGGCACATTGTTCCATTTTAAATTTAAGTGTTTATCTTTATATGTTTATTAAATTTATAGAAATGTAGAAGTTTTATCAAGTTTTATCCATATGTATATTATAACAAATCACGTTCATTCCGTACATATTTCAATTTGTTAAATTTGATTACCGTCGGATGTAGTGTTTAACACATCTATGAAGGTCATCCTATTATGAAATCTTATATATTACATAATTACTTTGGTATAATATGAAGAAATATATTTTGAACATTCAGAACAAGGTTATATTAATTTAAGACTAAGACAGGAAAAATATTCTTGGCATCTGTAGTAAGTACATTATGATTTAAATTAGATTGATTGATATATGTGCCCATAATCCTTATTTTCTTTCCAGGTATATGGTGGAACTGGGTCACCTTTCGGAATCAGATGTAGCAACCAACTTTATGTTTGTAAGGTAAATGATGAGAATGGTCTCATGGTTGAGGTGAATACTACTGGACAGCTGCCTCTTCCTCTGTATGGGCAAGCTTTAATTTTTCACAATGACTATCTCTATACAATAGGGGGTACGACTGGTCTTTCTTACACATGTGATATTCATAGGTGAGAAAAGGCTTCAACTTAACGGTTGTTAAGAGCAATGTGTGCACTCCGAACAGACTGTACCGCCACCGGTGTGTCGTTGCATGTACCATTGCTTTTAATGGTGGAATTCGTAGAGTGTAGGGTGACATTGGACTTGTGATTAATATTACGCCTTTGTTAGAGAAAGGTGCTGTAATAGTAAGTAATAATAGGTTATGTTTTCTTAATGTCATGTATATTTTTATTTTTTTCTTCAAGAAGGAAAATTTATTGAGCACTACTTAAAAATACATTTGGTGCATATAAGATTTTTTTTAAGTTTGTGATGAAATCAAACCAAAGACCATTTTCGAATTTAATCATCCATAACTAAAGGAATTAGAATAATTAATAAAAAAAGTAGGTCAAATTGTTAACCACAATTCTTTAGATAAAAATGAAAAGACATGCGTTTTTTTATTTAAATAGGTAGAAGTTAGATAGAGTTGGCAACTATCCTGAATTTCGGTGGACGTCTACCATTTAAGCTAATTTTTCAACAATTATTTTGTGTTTTGCCATGATTTCTTGCAGGACGCCAAATGTCCTTAATTTTACATCTTTGAATATTTTCCTAAAATAAACAATATTTCAATCTGAAAAAAAATTAGCCATATTCTCGAGGGTTTGTAGCGGTCTGGAAAACTGCGAACACCGGGAAAAGTTAGGGAATTCATTATTCTTCATAAAAAACAGGGAATAGTCGGGAATTTTAAAAGTATTCATGAAAGTCAGGGAATTTGATGTTTATAACTGGAAATTTCATGAAAATAGGCTCTTGGTTCTTGAAAGAGAAAACTATTTGTGGTTTTGAAACCTTTATAAGATGTTCTTTGGTATAAAAAAGATTATGGCGTCCAGTCTATAAAAAGTGTAATGCATAAACACTAATTAGTGTAAAAATGACCTACAAGTAACCTAAATTTTTTTTATAAGTCGGGGAAAACCTGGAGAAGTCAGTCAGTCTTGTGTAGATGACGTTTGTAAGTTTGCATTTGACATAAAAAAGTAAACATAAATGCATAATAAAGAATTTTGCGTTATAATATACAGGGTGTCCTGTAATTCCACGTAAATATTGAAAGGGGCTATTCTATGATCTATTTTAGGGAGTTTATTTAGTTAACATGTGTAAATTTTATCGAACTAGTTTATCTAGTAGGCGACTATCACGTTGATGCTTTGTAATGTCAACTTAATTTTTATAATTAATGCAATAATTTTATTAAATACCTATGTGAAAAAACAAACATTCAACATTAATATAATTTCTATTAGTTTTTAATAATTTATCTGTTTGTTTCTTCACATATTTAATAAAATTAAATTATTGCATTAATTATAACAATTAAGTTACCAGTACAAAATGTTAACGTGAAAGCTGCCTACTAGATAAATTTCAGTTCGATAAAATTTCCACCCATGCCATCATGCCATGTAATTGATTTTAAATATTTTTTTTTGCTCAGAAACGGTTAATTTTATAAAAAAAATACAAGAGACCTTTTTTGTTTGAAATGAATCAGACTATCTGAAATGAGCCTTTAAATGGTAATGTAGTAATAAAAAAAAGTTATATATGAAACAAGTCTTAGGGGAGGCTTTTTCTACCCCTTACAACCGTAGGGGAAAATCAACAAATTGTTTACTGAGTGCCTTCTTGGTAGCAGAAAACGTCTAGTTAATTTTATTTCTGTCACTTGGTATTTCAGAAAAAAATTAACTACTTTTTTGGCCCTCCCTCTGGAATCACCCCCTGAATTTTTTCGCATTTATTTATTTACACCCTGTATATTAATTCATTTGACATAATTTATGAAACAAGACAAAATAACAACAAATAATAAAATTTGGTAAAAAGTCCCTAGAATTTTTCTGTAATATGTACTACTTTTCTGAATAACAAATATCGATGTAACATTTACCAGGTTTTATTTCAGGAAATGAAATTCTAGTTCACATGTAAACCTTGTAAACTAAGTACCTTACCTTATTTTCAGGTTAAACATTAAAACTATGAACTGGGAAATAGTGTACATTTGCAATGGTCAGGGCGAATACGAACCCAAGGGAAGGTACAGGCATGAAGTGGGTTTCGATGGGAAAATTATTTATGTTCTGGGAGGGGGTACTACAGAAGAGGCCTACGACTTTCAATGCATACCTTCTTTCGATGTAGAGAAAAACGTATGGTTTAGGCAAAAGACTATTAGGGATAATAGGAGAGGTACAAAAGCAATTAAATCGTACGGGACCCATTAACGTCAATTTAAATACTTGCAGGTCATCCGGAGCCAAGAAGATGTCATGGTGCAGTTGAAATCACGGTAAATACGGGGCCTCAGGTTTTCATAACCGGTGGACACGACGGTGAAAATATATTTAACGATTTGTGGAGGCTGGATCTTAAGACGTACCAGTGGACGTTCTTTGAAATTTGCCAGTTGCCTAGACCTACATACTTCCACGCGACTGCAGTGTCACCGGAGGGCCGGCTGTACGTGTTTGGGGGGAATTATAGTATTAACGATGACGTGAGAAGGAGCAACACGATCTATTCGGCTTGGTTGTGTATCCCTAAACTAAGTGAGATTTGTTGGGAGGCTGTTTTATACTACAGTCCGCATATAAATAAGTGTGGTGTTGATGACCTGATTAATATAGGTCTCCCTAGACACTTCTTACAGAGGCTGAATAACAGTGACTCTTGCAAAATCAGTAACTGACAGTGCCTGTTATTGAACAATAACGTTAAGTTTTTAATTTGCCTTTGGATGTATTTTATTTATCATGTTTTATATAAAATTAGTCAATATATTGCTCTATATTAAGGTGTTGTTTCATTTCTATATTTTTAAGGATAAAAGCAAGATGCTTTCCTTTAAAGTGTCTTCTTCAAACAAAAAGAGTTTTCGATTTAAATATTCAGTGGAGCTTGGTTATTATTTGCTTTTTAATGCATATTGCAAGATATTTCCATTCGTAAGATTGGTTTCACATAGGATGTGTATGGATTCCAGTATATTTATAGCAACTATGTATGGTCATTGTGACCAACAGCTTACAACTCAAAATTTTTAACTTAATCATAGTTTCAGTGAAGTAACCACGCATAGTATGGTTAACTTAAGTAGTTTTTCCCAGGACGACTTTTTCCCCGGACTTTTTACCCGGACATTTTTCCCTTGACTTTCTCCCTGGAGTTCTTGCCCGGAAATATGTTTTTTTCCTGAAAAACGCTGCATGCTCCGAAAAACATTCTGCAAATCTATTTCATTCAGTATTAATGGCGGATTTTTTACAAAATATGCAAACGGGAAAAAGACGTGGCCTACTTTTTTTTTTATTTACAAACTGAGTGTTTTCGAACGAACGAATGGTGCAAGTAGAATAATTGGGATCACCCCAAAAAATTTACATTTATTCTTCCAAACGGTTTTTCAAATTTCAGTTAACAAAAATTAAAAAAAAAAAATAAATTTCAATTGCCTGTATGTCGTAAACGAAGCATGTTTCAATCTAGGTTTATATGAAATTATTTTCAGAAAATAACTGACAACCACGTAAAATATTTCGTACTTATTACAAAATAATATTTTTGTTTGTCTTTCAAATAGAACTGGCAAAAACTGGAAAAAAGTGAAACTGGTTAACCGGGTTCCGTTTTTACGGTTTTTACCGATTTCAGATAAAACCGGTTAGTCGAATAGTTGCTAAAACCGGTTATTCGAATAACCCGTTACTTGAATCGCCAAAACCTGATATCTGAAAATTGGTGCTTTACAAAGACAGACCCGGAGAAATTGTCTTAAAAAAAAAGTTACAAAAATCTGGAAGTCAAATTTGTTTACGAAGAAATCGATCTCCAAAAAAAAAGGTCAATTGCAATCTGACAAATCGATGTCTTTTTTAAAAAAAAGGAAATAGATCATCGAATAATCGGTTATTTGAATAATCGGATATTTGAAGATTCGAATAACCGAATAACCGGTTTTCGGATATTTGAAGAATCGAATAACCGGTTTGCGGATTTTGTAAAAAACCGAATTATCCGAAACCGGTTAACCGACTATCCAAAAAACCGATTTCAGTTGCCAGCACTACTTTCAAATGCGGTTGGCATGGAGAACTTTCACCTGGCAAAAAAATCGGTAAATATAAAAATCTTTCAAGAATAAACTGCCTTTGTTTTTAACAATATAGAAATATGTTATTAAGAAAAGTTGATTAGAATTGAAATTTGTATTATAATTTCAATTTGTGTATGAATGGGCTGATAAACCGAAAACTAAAATTAATGTAATAACATGAAGGGGAAACATATTTGGCCATTTTATTTTCGCCGAATTAATGTTGACATCAGTTGTTTGCCATACTAGAATCCGTTGTGATATCACATCAGGCGGATTAATAATTAATATGTAGTTCACTTAAATTAGGTCTATGTTGGAAATCATTGACATTGAGATTCACAAACTAAACATAGTGCTTCTACGTTTGCATTTGGAAGAAACTGGCTTGGAACAAAGTTTTAGAAAATGTTCTTACTATTTCAAAGCAGTACACTTACGAAAATAAATAAATTACTGGGAGATACAAATTAAATTTGTTTTTTTACTATAGGATAGCAGTGATAAAATTTCAGCAGGTCTATCTCTAATAGTAATGGAAATACCAACAAGCATTACAGGAAATTTTTTTACCTACGAACACTTCTCCTGAGAATACGTTTTATTGAAATATATGAAAATGTTTTATTTAAAAAAGTATGCTGTTTTGAAATTACAATATTTTCTAAAACGTCAATCTTATCAGCTATTTTCAAAGTATAAAAGTGAAAGAGACAAAAAGGAGAATATGCCTGTAAGTACCTAGATAAAATTTTAATTTTGATTATTATTACATCGTCTTTTCATTGTCATTTGCATGTTATAATCGACCTTCACTGTATCTATTACGAGGCATCTAAGATTAGGATAAATTAGCTGTTTGATTTAAATTCAATATATCTATTGACATAACTTAGAAGATTTGTGTCTTAACTGTGATGCAAAACAAATCCTGTTAAACAAGTTTACCATAATTATAATCAAATGGCGAATTTTAACTAAGGTTGAAGAGAGTAGATTAAATATCAATCAACTGTGAGAAAGAGAAAGTGGAAAAACAGCTATCGGAATTAAATTTTGATAAATCATGCATACCTAAACATAAAATTGAAAAACAAAAATGTTTTAAGGAAGATAATTTACCGAATTTAATAAATACTTTTATTGAATTTGTTAACAAGAAAGTAGAAATTTTATATTATGGTTTTCCACAACATGCAGGAGCTGGAAACCGTGTTCTTTTTCCTTTGGCTCTCAGCTCCAACCATTGCTCCTGATTTGGAACGTACATTTCTGCCGGCATTAATTCGTTTCTTTCTCCATCAGATTCACTGTCTAAAGCTAAAAAAAAATATATATATTTACAAATAAGCCACCAGAAACGCAGACTGCATTTTGTAATAAGCGCGGTGCGAAAATAGGTGCTCGTGCTCGTTAACCCGGTCTGCGCATGACGTCATCTAAGACCAGTTCAAACGTCAAATTTATACATAATCACGCCACGGTAGCTGTATATCTTACAATGTAATAATATCATATAATAATTTCCACATTTACATAAATTTATATACATATATTAAACAATTTTGTTTAAAAATGAACTTAGTCTAAACGCGAACATCACCTCAAATATTGTGTCAAGTTTGAAGTTTGAAGAAACGTTATATGTTTTGCATAACAAAATCAATGAAGTGACATTTTCATGTCAATAATATGTCAAGATTTCGTCACCCTTGCTCTCAAGTGACGACACCACATGCACGTAGGAATACCACGTTGTATTCACACCACGGAGAGAAGTTAATAAATTTAGTTTTCTTTCATATTCTTTGGTAAAATTTAAATGATGTAATGTTTTTATCCAATAAAATTAGTGTATTTTATGACCAGAATTTTGAAATAAATAATAAACTAAGCATTGTGATTGGAAAGAAACGTTTTTAGCGCTTCTAAAAATAAAGGTAACCACATCAGTTGCATTTGGGCCTATGTTAAGACCTGGTTAACTAATCAGACGAGATTGTGAGTACTAGGTACATACAGTGTGTATAAATTATAAATTCACAGTCTAATCCATGGGGTGGGCTCAGGGCCGTAAGCTATATGGAGGCTTCTAAAAAAAGTCACGCAATCACCAACTTACACCCCTGCCCCCCTAGCTACCTATGCTCATCGTCTATTTTTTTAATTAAGTAAAAGTTAACCAAATATTATTACCTAGGCAATCAAAATACTGGCAGCTTTGCTTAATTAATCGGACATTATACAGGGTGTCATTAATAATGATACACAGCTTAATGGTAGATTATTGTTGACGTGAAAATATATCGATTGAGCCAAACATACCTTAGTCAATTGTTGCTCATTTTCGTTTTACAGGGTGTTAAAGTTGAAAAAATATTTTCGATTTTTTGCTATATTTTAAGTATGCATGTATCAATTGTTTTGAAAATTTGTAGTTTAACGTTTGTTGAGGTGGCAAATACGAATATGCAAACAGTGTTGGGGTCATGTCTAGGGGGCGCTAATTATACTGTTCTGTCGATTTAAAAATATGTCTAACTTTTTGGATATTACAATTTTGAATTTATTAACTAAAAATTATTGAACCATGTTCAATTTTAAATAAAAAAGGTATACTTGTTAGAAATCATGGTATACATTTTTTATATATAATTAACATGGAGAAAGCAAACTTTAAAAATACTGAGTAAAAAATTTAAACATACTAGAACTCTTCGGTTTATTTTTGTCAACCATTCTGATGCGTTCTCCTGGACACCTCAACAGCAGTCGCCCGACCCCTTCACATCTTTTTAACACCTCATTCCTAAGTAATTTTTTACGTATCGGTTCCTGTACGATGGAACAATCAACCAACCAAGTAGCGATGTGTGCAAAATCGGATAGTAGTTGACATGCACCGTACTGACTAAACTTTATCTTATTTATATAAATGTGGTCGAGCCATGACTCGCAAATTAAAGTCAGTATCATGTTGCATATAACGTGGTCGTCGGTTGCCTCTAGCACCGGGATTAATATTTGATCTGAAAAGATAGATATTAGGGAAAAGGTTAGGTATAGTGGCGGAATGATTGTTTATACTTAAGTATTTATTAACGTAGGGACTTGGGTTTTCTGGAACTAGACTGCTGCCGGTCTGTTTCCAGTACGAATTTTTAGGGAATATCATTTGCAAATTTGCCAAACAAATGGTCCTGCATACCTTGGCTAGACCTTCGACGCACTCACCTGGAGTACTCTAAAAAAGTAAAAATTAGTGAGATGGGTATTCTTTTATTTGTTAATAAAACGAAAAAATATTTAATGTATAAAGGTGATTGCCTCCAAAATGAAACATAATCTCAGTTGTTAAAACTATTAGAAAAAAGTATAGAAAAAAGGGACAAATACAATGATGTGTACCCGAGATACAAGGTCTATTTTTGATGCTGCTGGCAAAATATAACTTTGTTGCTTCCAGAAATAGAATCTTATTATGCTAAATTTCAGCATTATTTAAATTTTGTTTATCAGTTGATCATATGAATATGAATTCAATAAATTTTGTAGAGATTAACGTAAATTTTAGAGCAAATCAACAGGTCTTTTCAGAATCTGCGATCATGTTGATTCGGTCAGTATTAAGTGTTCCCCCAAAAAAAAAAAAATAATGGGTTTAATTTGAATTGTATTGTCGCGTGAAGAGATTCGAACTTCTAAAATAAGTCATGTTTTCAATCCAACACCAGAAAACGGTGCAGTCTACGGCATGGAACCTGATAGAAGATAGAAGTTTTCAACTAACTTTCAAGGTCAACCGTAGAAGCTGTCCACAGTCCAAAACTACCCTGGCAGAGCGGAGCAGAGCCAAATACATTTGGTGAAGTGACCTCTAAAAACCATGACGAGACGCCCAATAAAGCAAACCGGTTTCGAATTTTCCAAAAACTTCGCACCAGGAAAATCACGACATTTAAAAGGACTAAATTGACTCAAACAAATGCAAACAATCATCTAGATTCCATGACAGGTCGAGATGATCCCAAATATCGTGCAAATTGAAAGAGGCTAGAGTCAGAAACCACCGAAGACCTATTTCAGAACTAGGCGGAGCCATCGTGAACCGAGTTCGAACGTCGACTTTGCTATCTCAGACGCCGACCCAGGTCATTAGTCTAGCGACCACATCGCTCAGGATTAACTAAAAACCTGTTGTAGATCCAAAGTGTTCATTAGCCAAACAATATGATGGACGGATATAAAATAGTGCCAAGTACAATAAACTAAATTTTCAGTTGAATACATTCGAAAATAGTCGTCCGGAGTAAGAATAGATACTTCCATTACATTTCAACCCAAAAGCAGTTGTTACTGATCCATTTGATCTCAGATATGTAGTAGTTTCTGAAAACCCTAAATATCTCTTTGTCTTTGTAGGTAATTAGATTCTGGAAATATCACAAATATAATCGTAATAACTAATAATTCATTAGATAACAAGTCTTGCAATCCACTTACCTTCAGTTTCTCAATATTCACTTTTACCTCGGATGTCAGCTTGGCTCTCATGAGAGTACAAACCTCAACATGCACACCCATCCTACCTTTCTCAATTTCTATAGTGTGATCGGCCATTCTCAAATTATTCAACTGGCCGAGGCAGTTAGTTATATCGGTGTGGATCACCGCAAAGAATGCCTTCATGTTCCAAGTGTTGGCTATCTTTTTGCTTTCATTGGCAGCCCACAGTCTAGTGGTGTGAATGGTGTGATCTGAAATACGAAAATTGATCAGTTGATGACAGTGTGGCCTAATAAGGACCAGAACATTCCTATTAAATTTGTTGGCAGCCCACTAATTTTTTTAACAGAAGAGAAAAACCTTACAATTTAATTTAACTTAGAGTTGATTAAGTTAAATTATTGGTTATAAATATTTCACCTAATCGATGCAGAACTGGGATCTGCTCCACGAGGGGAAGCTCGTCAAGAGGCGCTCCCACCAGCCAATCAGGTGTTATCTCGCACTGGTTGCACAACATCACCAGGTCCTGGAGGACGTTAGAGAAAAGTTTGCCGGTGTCTGGGTTGCAGGTGGTTTTGGACGCGACCAAGGCTAAGCGGAAGGTTTGGTCCCAAGAGGCTGAGGTCACGTGAACTCCTAGGGCGTCTGCCAAATTCGCTAGGGCCGACAAGACCAGTGGAGAAGTGTCGGCTACAAAAACTTAAATTTAGCAAATTCCTATGACTAGTAACTCAAATTTTATGATTATTTTTTACGACTTCCAAATCAGGTTGCTATTTTGTACAGGGTGATTTAAACCAGCAGGCGAAAATTTAAAAATTTGCTTTAGAATCAAACTTTAAGCAATAAAAGAGAGAATATAATATTACCCAGCTTCGTTTTTCAGACATCAGCGGGGAAAGATTTCAAAAATACTTTTCAAATTTTCCAAACGCAACACCAGGACAACAAAATTGTTTAATCAACGTAATAATATCTGCATATTATTCATTGCTAAACTGCATTTTTAAAATTTATACCTTTTAGCATTAATAATAACACAGCCCCACAAAAGAAAAAAAAGTACCGGATCTGGTATTCAGACCCATATATGTCCATGTATTTTTTCCGCTGAATCCGAATCTGTCTTCTGATTTGGCCCAACGGGTCTTAGTTTTCGGGAAAATTCAAAAAACAGGTCAAAATTCACAAAAAACGTCATTTACGATCGACGAAAGTTATAAAAAATCAAAGTATTCTACCAGCTCACTAGACGTATGATTTTTCACTCGATTAATTCCAATTTATCATCATAGAGTCAAACAAACTGGTCCAATTTCATTCAAAAACAGAAAATAGATCAAAATAGATCAAAATGCCATTTTCATGACATAATTCGTGTTGCAGAGTTCTGGATCCATCTTTTTATCCACTCACCCATTTATGAATTCATACATCTTTCTATGCAGTCGTTCATGCATGAATAGGCATATTTATTTATCCACCTGTACCACCTATAAAACCCACCCATCCACCCATCTATCCATCTACTATTTGTGCTGAGAGATGAGGTAACAGCCTAGAAGATTGAGAATGCAATAAAACTAGTAGAATACTCCACTTTCAAAACAAAAGAAAACGATATCTACAAATCATTCTTATTTTTGTTGCTATACCGTGTTCTCTTATCTTCAAAGGATCTATGAAAAGGGTTACGCTCTCGTTTAGTCCCTCTATTTTTCGTTTCTCTTTCTAACAACCAACAAATTTTCGAACTATATGTATATAGGGCGAAAATTTCCGAATATTTATGAGGTGAAATTGAAAGAAGGTGTATTCGATGGACCTCAGATTCAGACATTGTTCAAGGATGCAACATTCATCACTATAATGAGTAGCGTTGAGAAGAATGATTGGACTAGTTTCAAAGTTGTAGCGACACATTTTTTAGGAAACAACAAGAGTCCTAAATACGAAGAAATTGTATCAAAAATGATAAAAAGACTTCCAAGACCTGGGATGTTTGATGAACTACAAGTTCCACTTCCTTCATTCACATCTGGATTAATTTCCTCAAAATCTTGGAGATTATAGCGAAGAACAAGGCGAACTATATCATCAGGATATGAAGGTTATAGAACAGCGATATCAAAATGGGATGACATGATGGCCGATTTTTGTTGGTTATTAAAAAGAGAAACGAAAAATAGAGGACTAAACGAAAGCATAACTCTTTGCATATGATCCTTTGAAGAAAAGAGAACACGTTATAGCAACAAAAATAAGAATATTTTGTAGATATCGTTTTCTTTTGTTTAGAAAGTAGAGTAGTCTACAAGTTTTATTGCATTCTCAATTCTAGGCTGTTATCTCATCTCTCAGTACAAAAAGTAGATGGATAGATGGGTGGATGGGAAGGTTTCATAGGTGGTACAGGTGGATGAATAAATACGTGTATTCATGCATGAACGACTGGATAGAAAGATGTACTAATTCATAAATGGATGGGTTGATAAAAAGATGGATCTAGAACTCTGCAACACGAATTATGCCATGAAAATGACGTTTTTAAGCATTTTAATCTATTTTCTGTGTCTGTATTGGACCAGCTTGTCTGACTCTATGATGATAAATTAAAATTAAACGAGTGAAAAATCATACGTCTAGTGAGCTGGTAGAATAATTTGATTTTTTATAACTTTCGTCGATCGTAACTGACGTTTTTTGTGAATTTTGACCTGTTTTTTGAATTTTCCCGATAACTCAGACCCGTTGGGCCAAATCTGAAGGCAGATTCGAATTCAGCGGAAAAAAATACATGGAAATACATGGGACTGAATACCAGATGCGATACTTTTTTTTGTGTAATTAAAAGCGATATACACAATATGCGAGGGCCTACTAGTCAAATAATGTGTATTCTTTTTGTATAATCCTTACATTAATTAAATTATTTTTACTTTAATTATGATCTACTTTTACTTTGTGTAGAATTTTAAATTTATCTTTGAAAGCCGTTAACCTTTATCATTTTTAACTTAAAATTGGATTTTAAATCAGATCCTTAACTGTTTGCCTTCTGCTATAAATCACACTGTATATTATTCACCTGTTGGTATGAACTGATTGATCCATTCTCTTAAATGCTGACAGGATTGGGGTACCCTTGCAGATAAGGGACACGCTGCCCACCATAGAATCACGTGCTCCAGATAATTCCCCACCTCCCCCCACAGTATCTGCTGGTAGTAGTCTAGAACCTTGGATCGAGCTCTGGCGCAAATTTTAGTTGTCCCTTCAAGAAAAATAGAAACGTTATCCACAGTTCAAATGATTTTATTTTCTATTGTACACTCAGTTCCATTACGGTTGCTTATACAGGGTGATCCAAACTTAGCGTAGATAAATATTTCGGCCTACCTTTGACTTTTTTTATACCCTCATTTCCAAGCATCACGGGAGCTACGTTTAACGTTGTATTGAGCAAATCTAAGATGTTCTTTTCTTCGTACAGTATCAGTTCTTCTATGTTTGCGAAGTTGTTGTTTACCTTTACGTGTTCCATGACTTCCTGTTTAGTTATCGAATTTAGGGAATCTGTGCTTTCTGCCGGTGGTGACATATGCTTAGTTAGTGTCCTAGAAAATGTTATTAAATACAGGGTGTTCCAATATTCCGTGTATAGACAACTATCACCATCATCAAATTTTTAGTGCCTAAATAAGCTGATTTAACTAAAACTAATATCTATTCAAAGTTAGTTTAGCAGCTAGTTGATGTCAAAACTGGTAAAAACTGAAAAATATTTTCACACTTAAACAAATGGAAAAGCTGGGTAAATAAAAATGTAGAGAATTAGCTTCAATTTGACGGCTGGAAGGATACATGGAAGGGCAGAAGGAAATGATTATAAAAAAAAATATTAACAAATCAGATAGGTATTAAAAGTGATTTGGTGTTTACTAATAAAATAAACAACTGCGCAGAAATAGTTAGAAAAACAACAAACATGAGGCAAAAAAGCTTGAAAAAAGTTCTTATTTTTATAAAATAAATAAAAATACATACATAAGTACTAGTACCTCAAATATTATTTAAATTGGACAAAGCGTTTTAGAGTTATTTGGGAAAAAGTAAATACTGATGCCCTTTTGAGGCTAGTTAAATAAAATAAAGCAGTTTTGGGAAATGTCGAGTATAGTTACACTGTTTGATTTTGACCCTCATTAAATCGAGGTAGTTCCGTGTAGGTATACGGAATATTAAGACATTCTATGTAAATAAAAAAAATATACAATTCTTTTCGAATAAAATTTGATCTTCATTCTAACCATTTTGATGGCATTTTTGTACTTACATGTAAATTTCCAAACTGGAGTTGTCTGAATTGTCATCATCTGAGCTCTCGTAAACTTTATAAGTTTCCAGTAAACAGTCGATCAATTTATGACAACACAGCTCTGCCCTATTGTGTGCTATAATTTGTAACAAACGCGTGACAGATATTTTTCTGCAGGGAAACATTAGATAAGGGCAAGTGTTGTTGCAGATGCTGACGTTTTTGTTTATGTTGTATTTTCTCCCCATTGATATTAAATTATTGTAGGAAGTGGAAATACTAAATAATTAAATAGTGACGTTATTATTTTTTAATTTTATAGAAGTCTTACCTTAACGTCAAAACCAGTAAGTTTTCGCCGTAGTATATGAATAGGTAAGCTATCTCGTTGATGATTTCTTGTGTAAAATAAATTAGTTTTAATTTGATTTTCCACAACAGGTCTTTCCAAATCTGCCTCTTGCTGAGTATCGTCGCATGGATATGTCCCTCGTTCATTTTTGAAAAAACGCTATCAAAACGTTGGACGACGTTTTCTAGCGACGAGCTAATATCCCGCAGGTCCTAAAGTAAAAAATACTCAAGCAATGGTCACCTAAAAACTGGGAACTTACGTTTATTTGGATTTCATTCTCGTAAATTAGCAGGTGATTGAATTTAGAGGATTTTTTGTTTTTGAAGTTATCTACCAAAACTCCAAATCTATTGATCAGATTTAGGCACGTAATTTCGATGTCCTTGCAACTGTTGAAGACACATTCGTGCTTTTTGATTTCACTGGGCAACCATTTAACGAGAGTGTGTATATTTCTGGACATTGGAAAATAATTGTAGTCGTAATCCCGCCAAATATCTTTGGATTATAATTTGACTTGAATATATCACGTGAAGGTTATATCGATTATCTTACGTATTAATATCACATATTTATATCACATATGTTTATAAATAATGGTTTTAATTTTACTTCTGCATTAGCACTAGTACTCTGTAGAATCGTTTAATGAAAATAGCATAGCAAACAATACATTTCATGTTGTGGCAGTAGTTGTTTACGTTGTCATGACAACCCAATATCGTCAACTCAATGAGACAATCAAAAGTACATCATCCATAAATTACATTTGCATGTATTATCGAATTCCGCGAAATTTGCTATTTCATAAAAGGATCAAGTTGCTTAAGGCGACAAAAGACACACGAAAAAGAAATAAGATTTATTTAACTTAAGGGGATTCTTTTTTTACTTTGATCTTATTTTCATTTCCTTTGAGGCATATGCCTCTGATAATTACATATAGTGTACCTGTAAAATTAATAGTGATCAGTAAACATAAGTGATACAACATCTAGTAAATAGTATTCGTATAAAGAAGAACTCTATTCAGTACCTAGTCAAGTCCAATATTTACGTAAATCTTGATAAAAATTAACCTACAGTATGTACAGGGTGTAAGAAGTTTGACTGCCATTATTTCAGCATGAGATAGAGTGATCATAAATGAACAAAAAAGTTGTATATTACATGGGCGTAAAATTAACAGTTTTCAAAATACATACAGCGAGTATTAATATTGGGGAGTTTCATCACAGCGTGACAACAGCGCTTAACCTAACGCTACGCAGCGGATGCATATCACGTGTGCACGCGGCTGACTTGTCCTACGGAAAAAATGTAAACAATTATTATTGTGAAATATTTATTAAATTTCAAGACAATTGTTTTCCAGTTTTTAATTAAATAAAATAAAATGTATCGAGTTTGTAGTACGAAGATAGTGTTGTGCTTAAATTTTAGCTCGAATTTTAGTAATTATGAATCACTTAAAACAGGAACTTGACTTATAACCATATTATAAATTTGAAAAATATGTAATTAAAGCACCTAAAGATTCACGTCATGCAAATAACCACACGCATTAAAAATAATTTAGGTACTTACCAAAAAGCAAAATTCAGTAATTTTTAAACGCACAAGTACAAAACAAACTACTCTCATGAAAAGGAAATAGTGGTACGCAAAAACTACTCAGACACGGTCCAATTCCAGATACCAACTGAACTGCGCAATGCTGGACAGCTTAGTACCTCATGTTATCCGCCGCTCCGTTGTCACATTGGTCGATATGAATTTTATCGAATTTTAAATTTATTACAACACTAATTATTTTTTAGAATTAATCATAAAGAAGTTCAAAAAAGTGATCAACATTGTATTTTATGGTATTCTATGCACGCGGTTATGTCAATATTCCTTAATTAATCGAACTTTTGTACATCAAGTTGGGAGATATTGATAATTTTAGGACCCATGTCATATAAGTTTTTTTTTGTTTATGCATTCTATCGTCTGTTAAAATTAAGGCAGTCAAACTTCTAACACCCTGTATATTTGTAGACTTAGCAAAAGCTTTTGATACTCATTCAAAATGCTCTGCATAATTTTGGTATTAGTGATAAAGGTTACGATTTAATTAAATCTTATTTGTTGGATAGAAAACAATATGTTATGCAATGACAAAATGCAAAACAGAACGACATCATTACGGTACGGCGTACTGCAAGGTACTGTTTTAAGACCTATGCTGTTCAGTATCTACATAAATGATTTATTCCCTCCCAGTTGCTCTGGAAAAATTATATGTCTCATATTTGAAACTTGGCAAGACCTTTTAGAATCACCTGATATAGATTAAAAACAAATAAAATTATGTTTTCATAATGCTGCAACTGCGAAAAATGAAAATGTTAGTTTTCACCAGTTGCCACAGTTAAAAACTTATTATCTTTGTCAGTATTTTATTGGCCGATCATTAAATACAAATATAATTTACAATATTCCCGCTGGTTTTTTACTAATTGGTAATATCTAGTTAATTTTTTGCTTTCGATTTCTAAAGGGGACGTTCCTAATCAATCGTCTTACAAGTAACTTGGCAGCATAAAAAAACGTCACTATACATATTATAATAAAAGCTATAACGTCTAGAAGGTACAGTTGAAACCAGTACAATTCTATAGCCGCATTTCTCAGATGAGGTGCTCCACCGTGTCTTATAACATATTCCATCCAGAACACTGCCACATCCAGAGGCTTTGACATTTGGTCATTAAATACGTTAGACAACTCCTTCGCATTTTTTGAATACCTAAGTAACAAACAATATTATGACATATTATATAATGATTATTTAATACCTTTGATTCGTCAAGATCTGTTTTAAAGCTTCAGACAGAGATTCTTCTGATAATTCCTTTAACGGTAAATGTACGGCAATCTGTTTTTCAACTGATCTGGCCACATTCATCTTCTGATCGACAAATACTGGAATTCCTATCATCGGAACGCCATAATATATGGCCTCTGTAGTACTCAGCAGACCACCGTGGGTAATAAATGCAACTATATTCGGATGAGCTACAAAATCATAGATGTAGTTTGAAAATTGAAATAGTTGCTAAGTGATTCTTACCTAATATATCAGTTTGTGGCATCCATTTGGATATGAAAACGTTTTCTGGTTTGTTAGGAATATCCGTTCTTTCAAATTTCCACAAAACCCTTTGCTTCAGTTTAGAGAAAGCCTTCAGGATTCCGTCCAGTTTGTGTTTCGGTAAGTCAGCAGACTTCAAATTGGTGCCCATACTGAAGAATATAGCTCCTTCGGTAGCTTCATCTAAATATTTCTTAATGTCACTGGGAAGCTTCTTATTAGTAATATGAAACCCTCCAATTTCTATAACATTAGTTGTCAGGGTCGAAGGAAAAGTGGTGCTGGCATGGGAATTCTGTAGCATTATGCTAACATTATAAATGATATCCTTCAGATTTAAGTTTCCTGGGAAATATTTAGTTAGCAGTATCTGTTGATAAGGATATGTCACCACTTCCTTATAGATTGCATGAAACCAATTCAGAAGAGCGTTATGTAGTCTCTGAAAGAACGTCATTCTTTCTGTGTATGATGAAAGAGATAAGGGACTGACTGATGGAAGTCTCACGTTGCCAACGAACTGGGCATCCCATTCGGAAAACCCTATAGAACAGAAACTGACTAGTGGTGCCTTGAAATGTGCTGCAAACCCCAAGTGGGCCTCGTTGAAGACCATTTCTACAAAGACCAGGTCGAAGGTCTCATTGGAATGAATTAGTTGTTGTACTTTCTCGTGAGCTAAAGTATGCTCTGTGATCAACTGTCCCAATTCCTCAATGTACAATATTGATTTAAATGGATTCGCGTCTTCTTGAAGATATAAGTCACCTATTAGAGAAAGAAAAAACAACAATTTCAAAAAAATATTACAAAGTCTTCTAGCAAATTTCTGACATATTGGAAATGAAGGTCCAACCTACACATTGATATCAATATTAATCCGATCAGACCTGCCTCTAGTGGTCGCGTTACACTACATTTCGAATACATTTCGAATGTGAAAATATTTAATTAAAAAATATATAAATCAAGAATTTCACATTTTATGATAAGGATAAAAGTTAATATACCTATTTAGAATAAAGTATACCTTCAAGGGTGTCATGGAGGCCATCAACCAAAATCGGTGTGTAGTTCTTGATATATTTCGTCGGCTTGAACCCGCTAATAACAGTCACTTCATGTCCTCTCCTAACAAGCTCTTCCATTAGTTTTTCACCCATAATAAACTGACTGTAGCCAGGACTAGGGAATACTGCCAGGATTTTAGCGCATTTTACAAAATATATTGCTTTTATAAATAGAAATAAATAAGTAATTTTCATTTTATGTTGAAAGAAAAATTCGTATGCGATAAATAACTGCCGTTTCCGCTTCTGCTATTGCGGCTGCCCGCTTTGGTTCTAATAGTACCTCTATTTCCATGAGCCAAGTTGGAAGTCATAATCACTCATTATTTCTAGTTTATTAGATATGATCTGATAAGGATTATTAAATGGTTCAGTGCAGGTGTAGGTTAAAATTTGTCTATAATGATCTACATAAATCTAATGTTCTGAGAATATCTATTGTTCATTAGATCATACTCCTCGTCAACTGAAACATTGTAGAGATGTTAAAAGAGAACTTGTTCGCGGACAAGAATGTGATGTAACAGATATTAGAATTGAATGTCAAATCTGTTTCAAAAGTCGTTAATTTAAATTAAAGATACCCAGCAGATTTAGTTCTCGTTGCCATAATTTTATATGCTGTTATTAAAATGTTTGAGGTCTCAATACAAAAGTCTTTGATGTTTTCTCGGTTTTAAGTGTTCGTGAATTTGTCATGATATGGCAATGGTGTTCCAAATAGTGAACTATTTACTGACCTATATGTGCATAGGAAAGATTGAAAGTGACTGATTAAGCAAATGGTGGTGGTTTTAATTGCTCAAATTGCTGTAAAAGACTATACCGTGAGCGGTACAAATCAGAAAAATCCATAAGAAATAAGTGGTTCAGTGATTTACTTTGATCATTAGGACGCAATGACTTGAATGTAAAAAATATATGAGGTATTTATAGTAGGATCATATTCGATGCAAAGTAAATAAATCATTGCCTGTCAAGGGAACCAATGAAGTACGCTTTTAAGGGTTTTACAAATTGAATAATTTCTTTATACATTATGAAGGGACGAGGGGATCAGTTCAGGTCTGGCACCCTTGTTCCTACAAAAATTCCTTTATTCTCATAAACTATTTATTTTAAATGTAATTTATTATAAATCCAATTTGTTTCCTAAATTCCACATATGTACTACATTTTACCTCTGTACGCGCCACTGTTGTTTACTTGTTTTTTGGAAGCGCTCTCTAATTGACGGCAAAACTCGCCAGGTTAGTATTTGACGTATAACCGACCAGTTCGTACACTCGATGCACCTAGGCGACTACAGCTACTATCAGAACACAGTGCGTATGCAGCGGTATTTCAGATTTTGAATTGAATTTCATTTTAAATTTGAAATGATTTATCTTACGCCTACTAAAAATGATGACACGATTTTCCTTTGATAAAAGACCGACAACTTTTTGCTCTACTTTGGATCGAATACGATCCTACTATACGTATAATTTAATTAAACACGCATAATTTTATTGTATAAAATATGATTTTTTTAAATGTCACTATTTAAATTAGAGCCAGGTTATTATGCAAATTTTTAGCACCGTTTCTGTTTTTTTGTAAAGAACAAAAAACTTCAAAATCTCTCCAGTAAAACGCATTGTAGCCGTCGTCAAGCAACTAAATATTAAACAGGTACCTAACGTCAAAGTGGGTTGAAACTGATGTACCTTATTCACTACTACTATTTTTTATTATTTAGGATAATGCAATTACTTAACTAGATGGCGCATCTAACAGAAACGCAGCGGATAGAAATTCTAATTTATTTGTGACACGGTGACAAAGCCAGAACACAACAAGAAGTGTGTGATATATTCAACAACAAATCAATCAAGCCACTGCACTGTAAGCAAAATTTCCAGATTCTGGTCACATAAAAGATATCCCCAAACAGGTCGTATGAAAATAGACCTGTTAACATTAAGTTAAATATCTTATTGTAGTTGCAAGAAAATCCTCATAGCTCGAGCAGATATATTGCTGGGGGAAATGCAATTTCCCAAAGACCAGTTTTGCGTATTTGAAGAAAGAGAAATATCACCCGTACAAAATTCATTTAGTACAAGAACTCAACGAAGATGATTCTGATCGCCGGATCCAATTTTGTGAAACCATTTCAACATTATCCGACCGCGACCCACAGTTTCATCGGCAAATCCTTTTCTCAGACGAGGCAATTTCTGTTTGAATGGTATTGTTAACCGCCAAAACTGCAGGTATTGGAGTTAAAACAATCCTCATTGGATGATTGAGGCACAGAAATTGAATGTGTGGGCAGGCATAATTATTAATGTTCAGGTTCTTGGCCCTTTTTTCTTCAAAGAAAACCTCACGGGAAAAATATATTCTTCCTTCAGTTTGATATAATTCCCGCCCTCATTCAACTTTTTTCAAACGCAAATAAACCTGACATGCAAAGCGATACCTTGTATTTTCAACAGGATGGCGCGCCACCTCATTTTGCTCGGCAAGTCCGAGGTTATTTAGACGAATGTTTTCCTGGGCGTTGGATTGGAAGACGGGGACCAATAGAGTGGCCTCCGAAATCACCAGATCTCACTCCTTTGAATTACTTCTTATGGGGTTATTTAAAATCCAAAGTATATGCAAATCTACAGCAAAACATCGAGGACTTAAAAACCCGAATCAGGCAGGAAATTAGGAATATTGACAGAAACGTACCTACTAAATAATGTTCAAGAAGAGTTTGTACATAGGCTTGGGTATTGTCAAGAAACCAATGGATGGCAATTTGAACATTTAATTTAACTCTGTTTATTTGAATCAGTTTATAATCCTGAATTTATTGCAAATTTTATTTAAAATGATTGTATGATTTGGATATTTGTTATTAAATATTTCACATTATCCCTTCTGTGTTCTAGCTTTGCCAGTTTGTACCAAACAAATTAAAATTAAGAATTACATTCATTAGCTGTGCTTAAATATTTGAAAAACACAAAATGTATTTAGCAGGAAGTACACCTGTTCCCACTGACTTTGACGTTACAGTGCTTACATATTGAGTAATTTTTGAAAATTTTCCATATTCTATATTTAGACGCCATTATCTCGAAAACGGTTAAAAGTTATGTTACATAAAAAATGATCAGAATTCCATGGAGAATTGAATAAAAATACAAAAGAGTGGGGTTTCCATTTATAAAAGTTGGCCTTGATTTCATAACTTTTTTTTAGGCCATCAAAATGAAAATTACTTCAGAAAATGCGCAACTGAAAATATAATTCGACGGGTCCGAGCGATTTTTCAAATAAAGAACATCTGATTTTTAAACAAATATATCCCATACTTTTGCCGCTCACTGTATAAGATAGAATATATTGGATGTGACGTTTTTCGACTTAAATTTTTCCAACGCTGATTTCTTAGTTGTTAAGTGTTGTACTGATAATATATCATATTTGTTGTCATTAATTTGTACACTTATTCCTCCATCTGTAGCTTTGGATGATTTTGAATTATATTACCATCGCATGTTTCTTGACATGTGTCTGCTTGCAGTGTGGCGACTTATTTGTTTTTAAAAACTTTATATAATTAACTACTTCATACCTATTACTAGGTGTCAAAAAGAACAAGAAATTCTACACGATCTTATTGACAACTCTGAATTTCTTTCTCCTATACATTTTTATATACCTAGAGGCTAAATTTAAAAAATACTGTATGCTTTAAATGTAATCCTGCTAAAACTAATATTTTACTGAGATCGCCACTGCTCATCATGTGTGATAACTTTAGTCAATTACAGCAACCTTGTGATATTTTAATGGTATGCTAATTACCTTTTAGCTGTACTTATACCTACCTTATTAGAATGTATTCATTATTATTTATATAATTTTTTGTTTATTCATATGTTGTATTCATATTGTGTGTTCATAAATTGTCCTGCAAAAGTATTTATCATAGTCATTGTTATTATTATTATTATATACTCAGTATTATATTACTCAGTATATCGCCAACGAACTTAATATTCAAGGGCAGGTAGACGTCGTATATACTGATTTTACGAAAGCGTTTGATCGCATCGATCATAAACTTCTACAAAAATTGTAAGTGCTCGGATTTGATCCCGATTTCTGCAATTTTTTTAAATCATATCTTTGTGATAGAAGCCAATTTGTTGTGTACTTTGGTCATAAATCAACAGTCTTTACAGCTACTTCTGGCGTGCCACAGGGTTCGAATTTGGGGCCGCTACTGTTTGTATTATTTATTAATGATATTGCTAATATAATAAACTGCGAGAAACTTTTATTCGCAGATGATTTAAAGTTATTTTCAAAAATTAAGGACACTAATGATAGTAGAATGTTACATATGCAATTATGTGAGTTAGAAAATTGGTGTAATTATAATAGTCTCAATTTAAATGCAAATAAGAGCAAAATAGTAACCTACACCCGTAAATGTAACCCAGTTATCTACGATTCTGTTTTAAACGAAGTAATACTGGAACAATGCGACTCCTGTAAAGATTTAGGAGTAATATTCGACGCAAAACTAAAATTTTCAAATCAGATTGAATATGCCACAGGTTCAGCCCTGAAGATGCTTGGTTTCATAACTAGAAACTGTCACTCATTTTCTAATGAGGTAGCTTTGAAGACGCTCTATTATTCTTTTATAAGATAAGATCTAAACTTGAGTACTGCTCGCTTGTCTGGTATCCACTGAATGTAAATCATAAGCACACAATTAAGAGTGTACAGCGAAAGTTTCTCAAGTTTTTATGTTTGAAAATAGATCATTTTTATCCAGAAAGAGGATACGATCATTCTGTATTGCTTGACAGGTTTAATTTTACTTCTTTAGAGTTACGTAGGATTATTAATAGTTTAAAAATTATTTTTAATATATTTCATAACAATTTAGATTATTTATTTTACTGTCAAGCGGTTAAGACCAATAAGTTTTGAAATTTTGAAATATTATGTGCAAAAATATCTGATACTTGCGATGTTAATGCTCTCTCGGAAATTGTTAATTGTGCTACTGTTAAGTTCAGCATCTAGGAACTAGGTTGTACTACATTATATGCATATAATGTACATATTTTATATATATATATATAAATTATGTTTAATTATTTTATGTATTTATTTTCAATGGAAATAATATAGTTTTGTCCAATAAAGAGATATATTTCGCGTTTATAAAATATTTTTGCATTTATGTTTTATTTCTCTAAATTTTGTACTTTTTTTCTGAAAAAAGATATGGTCACCGTAGGTATGACCTCTGTGGCTGATATTACTAATGGTATTGGCATTATTTCTACTTTGTCGTAGTGCCACATTTGTTTTATTTCTTCTGCTAGTTGTATATATTTTCCCATTTTCTCATTATTATTATTATTAGTATTAGTATTAGTCTTAGTATTAGTATTAGTGTTAGTATTATTATTACTATTACTGTTACTGTTACTAAATACTATTATTATTAGTATTTGTTATATGCAGCCTCGCATGTAATTGTATATGTGTAAAAAACGTTTCAACTTATCTAAATTAAAGAGCTGTTTTTTTGGGAATGATTTCTATACCTACTCAGAATATTCATGACGAAAAAAATTCGAGCGGAATTTTAAATTCTAATTTTACATTTTTTTAATTTTAAAATGGGGGTTGTGGACTCTAAAATTTTGAGAAGGGTTGAACATTTTGCGCAAAATATATATTTTTTTCCTATTCAACAGATAGATACAAACCCATTTTTTTAATTTTGGACAAAATTAAATTTTCTTCGTATTTACACCTATTCAAATTTTAATTTCATACTAACATTGTATTTTTCAATCGTCATTTTAACCAGTTGCCACTGATAAAAACTTATCTTTGTCAGTATTTTATTGGCCACTCATTAAATACAAATTATGTTTACAATATTCCTTCTGGTTTTCTTATCAATTGGTAATATCTAGTTAATTTTTTGTTTTCGATTTCTCAAGGGTACGTTGCTAATCAATCGTCTTACAAGTAACTTGGCAGCATAACAAAACGTCACGATACATATTATAATAAAAGCTATAACGTCTAGAAGGTACAGTTGAAACCAGTACAATTCTATAGCAGCATTTCTTAGATGAGGTGCTCCACCGTGTCTTATAACATATTCCATCCAGAACACTGCCACATCCAGAGGCTTTGCCATTTGGTCATTAAATACGTTAGACAACTCCTTCGCATTTTTTGAATACCTAAGTAACAAACAATATTATGACATATTATATAATGATTATTTAATACCTTTGATTCGTCAAGATCTGTTTTAAAGCTTCAGACAGAGATTCTTCTGATAATTCCTTTAACGGTAAATGTACGGCAATCTGTTTTTCAACAGATCTGGCCACATTCATCTTCTGATCGACAAATACTGGAATTCCTATCATCGGAACGCCATAATATATGGCCTCTGTAGTACTCAGCAGACCACCGTGTGTAATAAATGCAACTATATTCGGATGGGCTACAAAATCATAGATGTAGTTTGAAAATTGAAATAGTGGCTGTGATTTTTACCTAATATATCAGTTTGTGGCATCCACTTTGATATGAAAACGTTTTCTGGTTTGTTAGGAATATCCATTCTTTCAAATTTCCACAAAACCCTTTGCTTCAGTTTAGAGAAAGCCTTCAGGATTCCGTCCAGTTTGTGTTTCGGTAAGTCAGCAGACTTCAAATTGGTGCCCATACTGAAGAATATAGCTCCTTCGGTAGCTTCATCTAAATATTTCTTAATGTCACTGGGAAGCTCCTTATTAGTAATATGAAACCCTCCAATTTCTATAACATTAGTTGTCAGGGTCGAAGGAAAAGTGGTGCTGGCATGGGAATTCTGTAGCATTATGCTAACGTTATAAATGACATCCTTCAGATTTAAGTTTCCTGGAAAATATTTAGTTAATAGTTTCTGTTGATGAGGATATGACACCACTTCCTTATAGATTGCATGAAACCAATTCAGAAGAGCGTTATGTAGTCTCTGAACGAACGTCATTCTTTCTGTGTACGATGAAAGGGATAAGGGACTGACTGATGGAAGTCGCACGTTGCCGACGAATTGCGCATCCCATTCGGAAAACCCTATCGAACAGAAACTGACTAGTGGTGCCTTGAAATGTGCTGCAAACCCCATGTGGGCCTCGTTTACCAGTATTTCTACAAATACCAGGTCGAAGGTTTCATTGGAATGAATTAGTTGCTGTACTTTCTCGTGAGCTAAAGTATGCTCTGTGATCAACTGTCCCAATTCCTCAAGGTACAATATTGATTTAAATGGATTTGCGTCTTCTTGAAGATATAAATCACCTGTTAGGGAAAGAAAACTTAATAATTTCAAAAAAATTACATAATTTGCCACCAAGAAAATTGGACATGCAGGTCCAACCTACACAGTGACATCAAAATTAATCCGATCGGACTACTCCTGCTTCCAGCGGTCCCGACTGAATATTTGTTATACTTTATTATAAAATATATAAATCAAGAATTTGACATTTTATGATTCGGTAAAAGCTGTTTTACATTGACAATTTATTGATCAATTAATTGATGAAGTCGCTTCATCAAGAAATTGTACAAGTGTAATGCACCAAATCAGCTGTCAAATAACTTCATCAATTTATTCATCAAGTTCTTGACGAATTAGAGCATGTTCTAATTTTCGTCAATTTCTTCGTGAAGTATCAACCCAACCGATTTCCAGCCTCAGATCAGTAATGAGGTTATGTTATTGGAATATGTAAATAATTGTGTGGCGTCGTGCTAGTTTTGCATTGTTTTTACTGATTTATTATTTACAAAAACTAATATTTATATAATATGTGTCAGAACGGTACCGCTGCTGTATCACTACAATTATGAGTGGAAAGGTGACATTTTTGCAATTTATTTGCTTCTTTGATTCATTGGTAGAACTGATTCATACGTCAAAAAACTTGACAGTCTGTAGCAGTGTAAACCACACTGTTTACCAATAAATTCGTGAATTAATTGATGAAGAACTTCGTCAATTTATTGATGAATAAATTGTCAAGTAAAACAGCTATAACAATTATATAAATATTTAGAATAAATTTCCTAAGTATACCTGTAAGGGTCTCATGGAGGCCATCAACCAAAATCAGTGTGTAGTTCTTAATATCTTTAGTGGGCTTGAACGCGCTAATAACAGTCACTTCATGTCCTCTCCTAACAAGCTCCTCCATTAGTTTTTCACCCATAATAAACTGACTGTAGCCAGGACTAGGGAACACTGCCAGGATTTTCGCGCATTTCACAAAAGATACTACTTTTATTAATAGAAATAAATAAGTAATTTTCATTTTATGTTGAAAGAAAAATTCGTATCCGATAAATAACTGCCGTTTCCTTTTCGGCTGTTACGGCTGTCCGCGTTGGTTTTAAGAGTCATCTCTAGTTACGTGTGCTAAGTTGGAGGTCGTGATTATATTATCACTGGTTTATTAGATATGATTTGATAACGATTGTTAAATAGTTCAGTGCAGGTCTAGGTTAAAATTTGTCAAAATTTTCTCTTATAAATAATAGGTAAATACATACTGATTTATTTGTGGTACAGATTTAATTTTTATCACTGTTTATTTGGATATTTTGCCACATGTGTAGAGTATTACAAATGAGAAAAAACAAATTTATATCTGCTTAATATGTTGTGATAAAAATTATCTTAAAGTTATTTGCTGTAAATAAATGACAGGGCAAGTTTAAATTGTAAAACTGTAAATTAATTTGTGCTGACGCAGTAATGGTCATGTTTATTTATTTATTTATTTATTTATTTATTTATCACATTTGGAATGCAAACAGGCTTGCTGCCCAAAACTGCATCCACTAATACAATTGTGAACATAGTGTAAACAAAACAAAAAAAAACTAACAGGAAATGGATACATCAGTGAAAAAATGTACAAAAATAAGTAAAAAGTTAATTAAAGGAACTGAATATTCCTAATAAATCTTTTGAAACTGCTGAGAGTAGTATTAAAAATATCAATATTAGAATCGACAAAGTACATATTATAATTAACAGTCATTCTATACAGTGGACTATTTAGTCCGAGATTGGTATGTTGGGTTGGTGTGCTAAATAAATTAGTCGTCCTCGTATTTCTAGAAGGAACATGAAAATTCAGTAAAGAAATTAAATAGGGACAGTCTAATAAATTATTCAATAATTTAAATAAAATAATAAAATCAGTGTGAATCCTTTTTTGTTCCAAAGGGACGATATTAAATTGTTGTTTAGTAGCTGATATGTCATCAACATTATAAATACCGTTGACCCTGAGATTAAGGTAACGCACAAATCTGTTCTGAACTCTTTCCAGTCTCAATTTGTATATGTTATAATTCGGACTCCAAATTACACATGCAAAATTAAGTCTGCTATAAACATAGGCATAGTACAAAGATTTAAGAGACTTTTCGTCTCTAAATTCCCTGCACGTCCTGAAAATGAAACCCAACATTCCATTACATTTTCGACAAACATAATCAATATGGTGACCAAAACTCAACCTACTGTCAAATATAACGCCTAAATCTTTTATTTCTGAGACACGCCGAAGCTCCTCATTATTAATCTGGTAATTAAAGATGTAGGGACTAATATTTTTAGTGAATGTAATTGAATGGCACTTATTAATGTTTAAAAATAATTTAAACCTATTACAATATTGCTCAATCCGGTTGATGTCCTGCTGAATACCCTGGCAATCAATTAGAGATGAAACTGCGCGAAAAACTTTCAGATCGTCTGCATAGAGGAGAAACTTAGAGTATTTGATACATTCGGCTAAGTCGTTGATATAAATAAGAAATAAGAGGGGTCCAAGATGGGAACCCTGGGGAACACCAGATGTAATGTGGACTGTATTGGAAAAATGACCATTTATTGCAACCATTTGAGATCTGTTATATATATAAGATGTAAACCAACGTAAAAGTTCACCGTGCACACCGATTCCCGCTAACTTAACAATTAATATATTATGATCAATTTTGTCAAAAGCTTTACTGAAATCGGTATACACGGCGTCAACCTGGATTCTCTTGTCCATGGAATTGCGAATATAATCACTATAGCTTAAGAGGTTAGTATCTATGGAACGCTTAGAAAAAAATCCATGTTGTTCAACAATTATAATATTTTTTAGAGATTCAAACAGAGCATCGTAAATTATGGATTCTAGTACTTTACTGAATATGGATAGTTTACTAATACCTCTATAATTCTTCACACAGTTTCTATCTCCGGTGTTCTTATAGATTGGAATGAGATATGCTTTTTTCCACATTGATGGAAATTCCCCTAATGTGAGAGACATATTAAATAAAATGGTTAATGGTACATATAGGGCTGTAGCACAATTTTTAATAAAGTAAGCAGGTATACCATCTGGACCGGCGCCTTTGTTGACATTGATTTTGTTAAGTTTATTAAATACATCCTGTTCAGTTAAATGAATTGAATTGATGTTGACGCTACCAGTATTTAGAAAAGATTTAAAAGGCACCTGATGATAAGGTTCATAAACACTTCGAAAATAGGTTGAAAAAAGGTCACACACACTGGGTCCCATAGCGGTACAATCATTATAATGCATCACATTGGGAATGCCATTGTTACGTTTAAAGTTAGACACAAAATGCCACAGCTTCTTTGGATTTGACCGAACATCCTCCTCCACAGAACTTATATACTTTCTATAATCATTTAGTATCATCTGTTTACTACGACGTCTTAAGGAAATAAATTTAATATGATCTAGTTCATTCTTATACATTTTCCATTTTTTATGATACTTTATTTTCTCTTTGACAGTAGTGATAGTAGCCATAGAAAAGTAACTAGGATAATTACGAAATTTAATTTTAGCCTTAGGTACATGTAATGAAAAAATGCGATTTAGCTCATCATAAAAACAACTGACGGCTTCATCTAGTGAACTTTTATTCAATATACCATGCCAATTAATATCAACTAGGGAATTACATATATTGATACAATTAGCTTTTCTAAAATTAAAATTATGACAGGTTATTTTATTGGATAAAAAACCAACAGCAGAACAAGAAAAATAAAATTCTAGTGGAGGATGATGAAGATCAGGGGGCACAAGAGGAGAATCACTATTAGTTATTCTTTTTACATTGAAATTATTGCAAAAAATTAGATCAAGAATATGAGAATGAGAATTAACATGCGAATTAAATTGCATAAGCTCTGCTAATGACATTGCATCTATAAGATCACATGTTTTGAACAATACAGGGTGTTTTAGTCATAATGTCAATAATTTTAAAGGAAGCTAGGGAAAAAGGAGTAGAATACGAATACGCGATTTAAAAAATTAAAAAATGCATATTAACGCTAAAAAAAAATGTTTTCAAATCATTACCTATTTAAATCCCTTCTTGGAACGTTCCTGACCGCTGGCGGCATTGATATACAGTGTAGGAAAGTACCGATGGTCTATCAGAAGTTACGTGAGAGCGATAAAGTAACCAATAGAAATCCATGTGATAGACAAGGATGGCTATAATAAAGGCGTCTAATAGTCAACGCCCATTTCGCCCTTCCACAAATAAGAAGTGGATCTTATTTGTGGAAGGGCGAAATGGGCGATGTCTATGAGACGCCTTCATTATAGCCATCCTTCTCTATCGCATGGATTTCTATGGCTTACTTTATCGCTCTCACGTAACTTCAGATAGACCATCGGTACTTTCCTACCCTGTATACATTCACAGATCCCAAGTCAACTCGATGTCGGCCTGAAGCGACGTTGCCAAATTTAAACATTTTCCTAGACATAAATAAAATGTATGTATTGACTATTTTAGACACCCAAAGATTTTTTGAATGATGAAAATATATTTGTGGAATGTATAGCATTTTAAATTTTTATAATGTATCACAAAAATAAAAATAAAATTCAAATAACAGTAATTTTAACAGAGAAAGTATCAATTATCCATTTAATTTGAAATTCTTGGATAAATTTAAATTTATCTAATTCAGAAGAACTAAAAAAGCCGATCTGAAAAATCCTATGTGAGGCACATAACTTTTTTTGCAAATTGCAAAATCACTCTCCCTCTCCTACAAAAGTATGATCACATGACATACCTACACTAAAATCGCTGTATCTTTTCCATTGTGGCACAAGCAAAATTCGTATGAACTAAGACGAAAAGTTTTAGTCAAATTAGTCCCTGTTTTCATATAATTGAAATGTAATCTTGACAATTCCCAAATTTGGATATCTCGCAAATTTTAATACTGGTATTATTGGATACGAAAATATGCCAAAAAATCGATATTTCAACGCTCAGAAAATATATACAACAGTTGTATGGAGACGCGATCAAAACAACTGTGAAATTTTTAATCTGATGGTCGGCTCTGTTTTGTTTTATATGCGCTAGTCAAACTACCCAAACTACAGTCTAAAACAGTTTTAGTTACTAATACCAGTAATACCCAATAAACGTCTTCCATTTTCGTTCACTTTAATACACATAAAATATTGGAACGATTGTCTGTGACAGATTGAGACTATGAAGACATTTATACCATCATTGTATTTCTTTTTAGCGCGTTTAACAAATAATGACTTTGATATTAGGACACATTCGTGACGTAATGGCAATCTTAAACTGGTCTAATGTAGGTATACCCTAATGTTTCATTTGAGTCGCTTTATTGTCGAAACAGTCCGAAATAGACTGCGGGTTGTATTGCATTTTGCATACTTTCTACATATCCCCTCTCCGTATCTATGACGTGATCTCCAAATTTGCGGGAAAACAATTCGGAAGATGCGATTAACGGTGGTAGATTTTGAATATTTTATTATTATTTATCTGATGTACAACGATATTTCGCTTTAATTTTGTTTTCGATTTTCTGTCTTTATTAGGCCTTCCGAGTGCTAAAATTAATGACATTATATGACTGAATCATCCTGTATATGCTATTGCAAGACTACCTACTTCCTAAGATGCAAGTACATATTACTAAAATTTCCCTAAATATTTTGTTTGTTTTAAAGCGTGACTTAAAAAATAATCGCATCTGTATTTGAATATTTGATTAATACATGTTAAAAGATATATCTAAATTATACAACGAACAAATAAAAAATTTGATATAGTAAAAAAATTAAAAAACTAAAAAATGGTACAATAATAAACTACCTTTATTTTTATCGACACAAAAAAATGTTATTAAGGAGAGGTGTTTAAAATTAACTCAATTAAAATTAATTCGAGTTGCTTTGATTGATTTTATTGTGAGACAAAATTTTTTGCATGTCATGATTTGTATAAACAAAAGAAATGGCTTCAAAATCTAGAGCGCATTTATTAATTAGTTTATAAATATTTTCCCATAAAATTTTTGAATTAATAGCATGTTTTCATCACGTTAATAATAATTCTTCATGTCAATCTTATTCTTAAAACCCATTTTTTATCATGAATAATCGTTTTCTGAAAATGAGAAATTTTACCTGAAAAAATAGCTCGTAGACAAATTTGTCCAATCAGAAAAAAGGGCATTGTTATCACTTCTTGTAAAATTATTCATTTTGCATCGTCATTATTTAAGGTCATGCGATAAAATGTTAGATAAACATTCTTAAACGATTAAATAATAGATACGGAACTTTTTTCTCTCCTGCGAATGTTTGTTGAATATTCAGGATAGTGCCAAATTTTTAAATAAATTTTTTTCCGAAAATGAATAACAAGGCATGGTAGAAATAACATATTTTTTGATATCTTGAAAGTTTTTCCAGATATTTTATTTATTGGAGGGATGTACTATATTGGCATACTGACGAGAACCACTAAGTTCGAAATCGGTCAATGCCTGGTGACTCTCCTGACGAATGATCTTAGCTATTTACTACATATTGGGGATGTAATTAAATAATAATTTGTGTAGTGTTATTCAAATCTCATATGATTCCTAAAGATAGTTTTAGTTAGGTTAAAAAATTTAAAAATATATTAATTCCTAGAATATATACAATAATTTTGTAACATCGATCGAACATGTTTTGAAATTACATACATTTCAAACAATTTCTGTAAAAAATACTTTAGTTGCGTTATCAATGGAAAAGAATTAAATTTGTTTTTTGATGAATTAAATACACGCAGCAGAACTTTCAAAAACAAAACATTGTGAATAAATTCTAATTCACTTTTTGTTTGTGGGTTTTACTTGTGAGAGCTTTAGTATTTTTCCCGAATATTCGTCTCAGAAGTAATTTAGCAACATAGTAGAATGCCACTACACAAAGGACGATAAAACATATGACGTCAAGAAGGTAAAGTTGGAACCAGTACAATTCTATGGCAGCATTCCTTAAATGAGGTGCTCCACCATGTCTAATAACATATTCTATCCAGAACATTGCCACATCCAGGGGCTTTGCCATTTGATCCTTTAGTACGTTAGAAAACTCTTTAGCATTCCTTGAATATCTGCATGAACAGAAATAATGGGAAAGAAAATACATTAATAAAAATAGTATAAAATTGTACATTATTGTGTATTTCTTGGTAAACTACTTACTTAGGATTCTTTAAGACCTCTTGCAAAGCTGCAGACAATGATTCTTCTGATAATTCCTTGAATGGCAAATGTACGGCAATTTGTTTTTGAACAGATTTGGCTACATTCATCTTTTGATCACCGAATATTGGAATTCCTATCATGGGAACCCCATGGTGTACTGCTTCGGTACTGCTCAGCAAACCGCCATGTGTAATGAATGCAACTATATTTGGATGGGCTATAAAATTACATTACAAATAATTAAAAACTGAAACACGTAAAGCAGATGTTTATTTTACCTAATATGTCACTTTGCGGCAACCACTTTGATATGAAGACATTTTCTGGCTTGTTGGGAATATCTGTTTCTTCAAATTTCCACAAAACCCTTTGCTTTAGTTTAGAGAAAACCTTCAGGATTCCGTTCAGTTTGTCCTTAGGCAAATCAGCAGATTTCAAATTGGAACCCATGCTGAAGAATATAGCGCCATCAGTAGCATCATCCAAATATTTTTTGATGTCGCTGGGAAGTTTTTTGGTAGAGATATGAAACCCTCCAATCTCTATTACAGAGGTCGTCAGAGTGGTAGGGTGATTGGTGCTGGCATGAGAGTTCATGAGCAAGATGCTAGTATTGTACATGATATCCTTCAGTTTTATATCTCCCGGAAAATACTTGGTTAAGAGTTCTTGTTGAGCAGGGTAAGAGACAAGTTCTTTATAGATAGCATAAAACGAGTTCACTAAAGTGTTGTGTACTCTTTGAAAGAATGTCATCTTGTCTGTATATTGGGACTGCGTGAAAGGGTTAACCGATAAAGGTCTCACGTTACCGACCAGGTGGGAATTCCATTCTGAGAGTCCCAATGAAGACCATGTTATGAGGGGAGCATTGAAGTGTGTGGCAAAACCCATGTGAGCCTCGTTTAAGAATTGTTCGACGATTACCACATCGAAGGTTTCGTTTGAATGTATCAGTTGCTGCACTTCTTCATGGGCTAGAATGTACCCTGTAATGACCTGTCCGAACATTTCTAGTATCGATATTGCGTTGAATAAATTTACATTCTCTTGCTCAAATAGATTTTCTGAAAAAAATAAGCTATAAGAAACTAAAAACAATTTCAGTAGTCTAGCAATAATCAAAATCATTTAAACTGCAAATCAGGGTCTAAAACTAATAACAATCTAAATTGTTAAAACTTATTGAGAACCTCTGAGTCCTCTGGAATGGCCCGTAAGTTACACATAAACATATGTCAATATTTGTATCCCTTCCTTAAATGATACGTTGTCTTTGTCTTGTTTTTTTTTTTTTTTTGTAGTAAACAGTAAAACTGTTGGTTTAGTTTAAGGTAATCTAAGTACAGTAATTTATTTTTCTAAATAAGTACTTATTTTAAGTGCTTTCTTTTTATGAAACGATAGTGCCGGTGGTGTATGTATTTTTAAGTGCGATAAACATACCAAAAAAAAAACGATGAATTAAATAGACATGGTTATGATGTATGGAAAATCTGAGGAATTAATTGCACATCTTTACGTAGGTACAACGTTTTTCAAATAGACATGCACCAACATCTTGTTAACAGAAGCAGAGTATCGATATGGGATCAGCGGTTCCAAAAAAGTTTTCATTGTATATCAGTGTGGTAAGGTGAGTAGGTATTAACAAAAGTTTTGTATATGTATTATCGATTATGTAAAAATTAATATGTATATTTTTGCAAATTGTTACATTACCTTCAGTGGTCTTAATGAGGCCATCAACTAAAATCGGCCTGTAGTTCTTGATGTTTTCTTTGGGCTTGTACGCAGATATGACAGTCACTTCATGACCTCTTCTAACAAGTTCCAACATTAGGCTTTCAGCTAGGATGAATTGGCTGTAACCTGGACTGGGAAAAACTCCCAAGATTTTCGCGCATTTTGTAAAGGATACGACATTTATTAACAGAAGGATATAAGCAACGTTCATGTTTGCGTTAGTAGAAAAATACTAGATCAGAGCCGCAGCGTGACCATCGATTATGGGTCTATTTACGCTTTCTCGATCGTCGAGGTTAAATTTTTTTCTGGGTCATCTCATCACTAGTATCGCGAGAACAACTGACTTGACTGGCGGCAGATTTGGGATAACTAATTTATCGTGGTACTTTTATTTGCCAGTTACAAGATATAGCAATTTTTTTTAATTGAAAAAATAATAATAGAAATTACAGTGCAATATTTATCAAGGACTCGAAGTTAATATATGTCCAACAAGCACTATGTCTATTTCCAGAATACGGTAAGCATTAATCATCAGAATTTCTGGCAATTACATATTTCACTGCAGATAATCTTATTTTTAGATTTATTTATGTAGGAAGAATTAGAAAATTTTATTATAAGGATGCAGAAAAATATTAATGTTTTGAAAAAATTGTAGTAGCAAATAAAAAAAAATAGTGGTATATATCTAATTTTTAAAGACATAACCAAATACAGGCTGTCTCCTAAAAAACGCCGCAAGGCATAACTCCGTTATTTACAGTCTAATTTAAAAAACAAAAAATTTAATGAAATGGCTCGAAATACACTTTAGACTAGAGGAAGCCTATTAGAGCTTATTTACTATTTTTTTTTTTTGAAAAGCAATGGTCAACTTTTTTTTTCCAAATGGCAATATAGTATTTTTTTATTTATTATTGTGCAGATTTATTTTCTGAATCCAACGATGTATATGAACTTGACTTTTGTAAAGCATTTATTACAGAAAAGACGACAAAATAATAGTGGATACCGCAATTGGCGCCCGGCCATTAATTCATGACAAATTTATTTTAACTAAACATCTGTGCCATAGAAAACAAAAAATAATACAGCAAAGCAAATAAAACTCAAAAGAGAATTTTGTAGTTAACAGAAAAGAAACAATACAATAAATATTGATTAAAAAAAACAATTTAATTAAATACATTACCATTATATAAATTTCAACACGAAATAACATTAATTAGACAAAAAACACATTAAACGAAGAACAGCAAACACAAACGAACTAAATAAACAAATTGTAGCCGTAGTTCCCCACTAAACATTTTTCAGTTTCTGACATGTTTCACAAATGTTTCCATTTTTCTTGAAACGTTTCATAAAAAATCCATGCAACGTTCTGGTAACGTTCTAGAAGCCCAAGATGTCCTCCCCAAAATACGTTTCCAATGAAACGTTTCAAAAAATTGGTTTCAGTAACATTCTTTTTATGTTCCATTTATGCCCTCGATATTTTTGTTTTACGTTTCAGTATATTTTCAGAAATGTTTGAGTAACATAATAATTTTATTACCATATTGTTCTCATAATGCTCTCAACTTTAGATCATTTTCATTTCAAAAGCGTTTTTGAAATAGTATAGATAGTGCTAGTATTTTTTTAAATATCTCTAATACTCCTTTGTGATATTTTTATTTGTATTGTGAATGACTTAATTCGAACTAAAAAAAGTTACATTGTATATTAAAAAAAATAAATATGCTCTTCTAGTTTGGGATGCGGCAACTTTTACTAAGAATTTTTTTCTTTTTGAGAAGCCACTGAAAAAAGTTTCTAATATGGATTATGAATTTTGCCATTCATCGTACAAATAAAAATATCACAAAACAATATCAGAAGCATTAAAAAAAACTACACATTTTATATAGTTCAAATACGCTTCAGAAATGGAAATTTTCTAATGTTGAGACCTTCATGAATATGGTAACAATGACGAACTGATAATTAGAAAAAGTTAGTTATGATTATGAATCTTAAAATGGTAGGTACATGAAAAACAAATAACATTACTGAAAAATAATATAAAGTTATAATTTCTTCTACTCATGGTCAATATTACATATATCTTTTTAATAATAATAAATTATACAGCAGAAATAAGAATACAAAATGATATAAAGTAAATATCTGTAGGTATACCTAAACTCTTTTATTTAAGCATGCCTATACACATAAACAAATATAAACATTTGTACAAAATATATAATAAATGACGTCTATTTCACTTGATTCATCAATATTTCAAATAGTTCTCACTGACTAAGTAGCTGCTCTTCAAATTATATCGAAACGTATACCTAGTTCCATGTTCCATTTTCTTAGTTCTTGTCCCTTGACCTCTTGTCTATAATAGGTAGTGGGTATAAATAACTATGTTTAGGTAGATGTGACGCAAAATTGGAAATCTCTTTACACATATCGTTTTAAACATTTTGCATCAATATTCATTATTTTATATGCACCTTACAATTACCACAACTGCACACACTACAAATTATCACATAAAATAGCGTCAAAGTAAAGATGAATAACAACGAAACCAAGCAAACTGACAAACCGCAAACCTAACCTAACATAATACGAATTGAAACGACACACGGGAAACAAATAAACTCGGGCTGTTACGCGCAGTCTACGCAAGTCACGAACATACATTTTTTCTAGACTTGTGTTATAAATATGCTACCACATTTTTTTTTCTAATTATGTCTTTATATAACAAAGGCAAATGAACTAACGCTTGAGAAGGATTGGGGATTGAGAGCAAAATTTAACTAATGCCGAATGTTCCATAAGATAAGCAAAAATAGCAAAGGGTTGTTCGTCTGTTATGTTTCCGAGATCGAAAGGGAATGTTTCGAGTAATGTTTCAAACTCTCTTCAATTGTAACGTTTCGGCTATGTTTCACTAAATAAGTTTTCAAGTGCTACATTTCTGTAATGAAACAGAAACGTTTCTAGTTAATGTTTCAAATGTTTAGTAAAACATCTCATTTGCAACGTTTCATTTACGTTTCGTGTTTAGTGGGTCTCTATCGTTTTCCTTTAACGCCTATACTTTTTGAGGAATGTATGGCTTGAATTTGTGGTTTTTCACTACTGCATAATGTAAAGTTCTCTTTAATGCTCTAATATTATTAAAAATTTCCTGAATGGAAGTTCTTGGGTTTTCTTCGACGTTACGAAGAACATTGAACATGTTTTCATTAAATTGGCGTTCTTCTCACTTTGGTTTCTTAAAAGCATCAGTTTCTCAAATTTTCTTCAAGTCTTACAAATCTAGTTGCGTGGTTCTGGAACTTCTCTGCCTGGAAATAGCTCTCTGTAAAGGTGGACTCCTGCGCCACGATTTTTATTACAGCGAAAGTATACCTGAAGTCCATCAATTGATTATTATATATTACTCATATTTTGCACTGTTGAGCTTATTTCAATAAATAACCTACTGTAACCGACACAGAAAGAGTATAATGCGTAAAAAACTGCGACACGAACGCTAAAATGACATTTACTTGCTTTGTTGTAGTTATTATTTTTTGTTTTCCAGTCATACACGATTAGTCAAAATATGTTTGTTGTCAATTAAACGAACGGGCGCTAATATTGCGGTATTGACTAATATTTTCATGCTTTTTCTGTAAGTAATACTTATATGTTTCGCAAAAGTAAACTTTATATACATCGTTGAATCCAGAATAGAAATCTGCACAATAATAAATAAAAAAAACCTACATTGGAATTTGAAAAAAAAGTTAACTATCGTTTTTCAAACAAAAAATAATAAATACGCTCCTGGCTCACTCTATAGTATATTTAGAGCCATTTCATATAATTTTTTGTTTTTTTTTAAACCAAACTAAAAATGACGGAGTTAGGGCTTGCGTTGTTTTTTAGGCGACAGCCTGTATATTCTTTATGTAGAGAGATAAAAGGTAGGACGTAAACCTTTAATGTCACTAATATTCACACAGTTTAGTTGTATAAAAGTGTATAGTATAAAACACCCCAAACCCCAAAAAATCCAATAATATCATCTTTTTTATATCGGTAAGTTGCTGCACCTTCTTTTTAGAATCAAACGAAAGAGCTTAGGTTTAGAAATATTATATCGGTAAGTCGTTGATTGCGTGTTTTTTGTTTTAGGCTTCCACAGAGCATGCAGTAGCCCTGGGACCACCCCACGCAAAAATTCCAGCTACGCCCATGCCTCTAACCCCATGTCTTAACCACAGCCTTTGACTAGTGTATATAGTCAAAGCCACAGCTTAAATACTAAATCGAACTGTTGTCGGAAGTTGGAAAACATTTTGATGACCTAGCTATGGCACCTAGTGCTTATGCAACCATGGATTCGTGAGAGCTAGAGATCGGGACTGCGAGCAGGCTACGAAACTTATTAGTTTTATTCAAGTATACCGATAGATATTTAATGATTCTCTTATTGTTTCGCTTAATGACTTCCATTCCCATAAAATAGAAGTTCAAATCGACAAAAGAAAACGATTGAAATCAATAATTCCTTTACCAAAAACATAAAATATATACTTTCAAGGAACAGTTTCGTTTTCTTTGCGGTTGAAGGAAAATAATCCCATTTCGAAAGTTGCATAATCAAATAAAAAATCATTGGCGTAGAAATTTTACTTTTCTTGAGAGCTATGTCCACTCACTATTCTTCAGGTTATTAAAAATTTCTCTACCAATATTTTGTTGGACTTTCCATGAATATTTTCACTTTAATATATTGTATTCGGAATAATCTAAATGATTTTTTAAAAAATATATGGTTATAATTTTAAATTTATTGAAATGTGTTAACTTTGTGGATAAATATACCTATTTAACATGTAAAGAAATCCGTAAAATGAATTACAAAATCTAAAAAAATTCTTGAAAATTAAAAAATTGAATTAAGGACAGATATATTTATTAAAACCATAAAAAATACGTAGATTTATATTATTTATCGAAAAATCCGAGATCATGTCGAAAATCTGTAGATCAACTCTGGTATGGGCTGATTTTTAACAATTTCTTTTGGTTTTAATTAACGACTCTGCTATTGGCCCAAGTATCGCCAGTCTACATCTATCTGTCTCTGAAGATATTTGAATAAATGTAATATTTGTTTAAATTTCAATTTTCAGTGTGGGTGAGACATAACCTATATCTTAAATGTCATTGCTACTCAGGGCCTACTGGGACAAAATGCTGTGTTACACATACTGGCAGAGAGTGACCTACTAATCTATTGGTGCTATGAAAGCAATTCCTTGCATCTCAAAAACTGGTGACTGGATCATTACCGCTTGTTTTAAAATAATCTAAGGAACACATTTCTGAAGTTATGACATGAATTTATTAAAAAACATTAAACATAATAATACTTTCAATAAAATTAATTTATTATATACAACTAAATCATTATTATATACAATTTACCATTAAAATATAATTACAAAATTTCCATATTAATCTTTCTCCAACTTTTTGTATTTCTTACTGGGTCTACGCTTAATTCTAGAAATTTGGTGTATGATGTGTTTGATTATGTAATAAAATATTAAGAACAACAATATATCCACAACTGTTAAAATAATAATAATGTCGATCATATTCCTTTTATACCAAGACAAGTGTATTCCCGCTGACTGAAGATGGTGGGATCCTTTATGCCTCATGGCATATTCTATCCAAAATACTGCTGTATCCATGGGACTTACGAGCTGATCCTTCAATATTTTAGAACGGGTTTTGGCATTATCTGCATATCTAAAAGTAAAAATTTATTATAGTTTAAGAGCATATACATAGTTTCATGTCAACTTACTTTGGGTTGTTTAAAATTTCATGTAAAGCCCCAGACAATTTTTCTTCGGATAAGTTTTGGAAAGGCACGGAAATTGCATAACCGTTTCTTTCTGCCTTAGCAACATTCATTTTTTGGTCACCATAGATTGGTATACCTATAACAGGGACCCCATAGTGCACCGTTTCGATGGTGCTGAGCATACCTCCGTGGGATATGAACAGTTTTGTATTGGGGTGGGCTAAAATAGAAAAATTAATGAGATTAAACATATTAACGAACAAATTTGCTTTCACAGAATGGAAACTTGTAGAAAATTTTCAAAAATTGCTGGTTTGGTCATTGATGACACACTTTTTAATTGGAAGGTATGAGACAAGAATGGTTTTACATCCATTTCTAGTCAGAGTTGGAAGCAGCTCAAAATTTGTAGCTAACTTGACCTTAAAGCTTTCAATGATTGGCTAGATAAATTTAGTCAAATCCATAAAATTTCATTTAAAAACATATAATGGTGAATCTGATTTAATAAACTTTCAAAATATTGATGCCTGGAAAGCTAAGTTGCAGTCGATACTGAAGAACTGTATTAATGCAGATGGAACAGGGCTTTTTTCCATATAATGCCTCGAAAAATATTTGCATTAAAAAATGATGTGTACAGGGGGAAAATCAGGAAAAGGGGGAAAGACTTACGTTGCTGTTGTGTTCAAACATGGAAAGAGATGACGAAAAGCCTCGAATAAGTAACAATAAGGCCAGTGATATTAGCGAATGCAATATAGAAAATAACATCATTGACATTTTTATTTCCAAATTTTAATGTAATTAATTTTGATAGAAAAAACATACTCAATAATTGATGATAATTTTAATAACTGAAAATCCAGTCTCTAATATTGTAACAAGTCTGTTTTTCATTATTTACCCCCCACCTCAAAATAACTAACTCGTCTTTTCAGGATTCTCTAAGGGTGTCCACTATTAGAATGTTTTATTGTACTTAAATTATGCAGAAAGTTTTACCTAACAGATCTTGTTGTGGCAGCCACTTCATCAATTTAACATTACTTGGTAGTCCTGGCAAACTGTCTTCTTCAAACTTCCACAAGACCCTCTGTTTAATTTTACCGAAAGATTTCAAAACTGCTTGAAGTTTTTGTTCACTGAAGTCAGAACTCTTCAGGTTTGATCCCATCGAGAATATCACTACACCCTCAACTGCCTCATCCATGAACATTTGTAGGTCTAAACGTAATTCATTTGGAGGTTTAACATGAAAACCACCGATTTCAATCATGTTTGGGACATGAGGCACCGGTTCACTGATGCTTGGGTGAGAGTTTAGGAGAATTAAACTTGCATTGTGCATTACATCTTCCAGATCTAAATCCTTAGAGATGTATGTTTTCAACAGCTTGTCATGGAGAGGAAACATGTAATAGTACTTGTAAAAAGCATCAAAAGTGTTATAGGCGAGGTTGACAAACCTTTCACCAAGATCCATGTAGCCGGTATATTGTGTGAGAATGTGTGGTACATATGAAGAGGGTGCCGGATTGGCAAATATATTGTTAGAGGAACTATAGGAAGGTAATGATGAAAATAGGACAACTGGGGCATCGAAAACTTTTCCAACACCCAAAATCGCTTCAGCCAAGAAATATTCGACAATGACAACGTCGAATTTGGCTTGAGATTTTAACAATTTCTGAAAGTTATCGTGAGATAGTAGTTTCTCCGTCAGACTGTACCCCATGTTGTGAATAAATTTAATTTTTCTCGTAAAACACATTGTTTCCCTGTTGAAGAAATCCTTTTTGTATTCTAAAAATATAATTTTAAATTAAGTATTTTGCTTTATAATTTGAAATAACTTACCATCTAAAGCTTCAGTCATACTTTCAACGGCCACATCTGTGTAATTTGCAATGGGTGTTTTCTGAGGGAACGGACTGACCATGGTGACTTCATGACCTCTGTCGGCTAACTCCTTCATGAGGCGAAAACCTAGTGTAAAATGGCTTACTGCTGGCGTAGGAAAAATTCCCAATATTTTCGCTGGTTCTGCGATACATATTGCCAGAAAAATGAAAAAAAGTTTTAACATTACCATGTCGTTCTTTGTTTTGAGGCACTTCCTGTTAGTTAAAGAAAATACGCTAACACATCTTATCTACTCAGGCAATTTATGGTTTGTGTACATTTTTGATTATCTGATACGAGTGCTGTGACCTTGTCTACGCCTAAAATTAAATTAGTGATTATAAACTCGTGACCTCAGTATGACATACCACCATCTTCCTTCACGAAGATTGCTGTCATTGAAGTACCTCCTAAAAAATATGAAAAATTCTTGATCTTGACAACTAACTAAAGCATAGTGCAAAAAATATCAAAATATATTTTTTTATTTTTATTAAAAATATGATAAGAAATGTTAATACACCAATTTAAGTTTCAATAACCGAAGTTTCAATTTTTTTGCATTATAATGTAATTATTTGCTAAAATAGCTTTGTTTTCAATAATTTTATCAATGAAAACAAAAGTCAGCTGATAAAAGTTGTATTATGAATAATAATTACTTAATGACCATAAATTTTTTATAGGGTTGTGTAAAATAAAATCCAAGTGTATAAAAAATATGTGTATTTCAGTATGAAGTAAATAAACACATACCTGTATTATATATTATTTATATGATACGGTAATAATAACATTTATTGGAACTATGTGTGACTGTGTACATACCAGTACGTAGCATTTCTCTAAATAAATTAATTTCTATTCTAGATAGGCAACCAACAATACAAATTGCGGTATTTTGTGTTAGCGATGAAGAGTAATAATAATGTAAACCTATTGCAGGTGTAGTTATCTATTTTCAAAATATGTACATAAGTACCTAATGTTTTTAAGATTTTTGTGATTTTTTTTACAGAAAGGTGGGAAATTACTAAACATTGTGAATATTAGAAACCTAAATGTGTAAACCATCTTTATACTATTATGAAATTTATTTGAAGAATATTAATATAAAATATATATTTATAATTATAGATATAATAAATATTTCAATTGCTTTATGTCATAGACAGGGCCGTAACCAGTACGGGTTTAGCCAGTCCTGAAATATTTTGTTTTCAATATATTTTTTTGTTATTTAGATTAAAATATTGTTGAAGAGTGCCAATGCCGGCCACTGCAATTAAACATTTCAAAAAGCACAATGCAGCGGATTTTAACAAAACAATAAAGATGCAGATCTTTTGTCAAAATCCGTTGTAATGTATTTTTTTAAATGATTAATTGCAGTGACCGACAACACACTGAGGTTATGGGAATTTACTCTCGCAGTAATATTTTCGGCTTAACGGTCAGTATCTGTTTGGTCGAATTTGGCAACTAATCTTTTCACATTTGCTTCATTCCTTCTACCGAAAATTCCACGTAATTTGCGTACAGTCTCAGCTACATACTCTCCGTACTTGTAATGAATTTCAGAATCTTCACTCGCCCATCAGTCGTATAGCACTCCATTTTGTCTAACGGCAACGTGTTTACAACATGCGACCCTGCACAATGCTGTCAACTCTTCGGAATGCTTTTGGGCCATCCTTTATGTATTAAGAAGTAATTAGTTTTTAGTTCTGACGAAGATTTGATTAAGGAAGTCAGCAAAAGAAATGTTTTTGTTTTTTTCCCATTTCATTTCCGATATAGACTAGTTAAAGTAGGTATGTCCAAAAATAACGAACAGGGTAAAGTTTTACATTTTTGGAGACTTTTTGTCCCAGAGAGACAAACAAATATGAGATAAGGCGTCTCTGGTTTAATTTATGAGAAACAGAACAGCGAAATCTATGTCCTAATGTTTTGATTTGTTTAAGAAGTACAGGGTGTTTTTTTATTTCCGTTTTTTTCTGTTCATATTTATTTGAGATTTTTTTTAATTTTCGTGAGATTTTTACTCAGAATTCAGTGGCATTGGTAATATTATTCTGTCTTCCCATTACAAAATTGAAGTGTGCCGATAAATACGGGTATACAGGGTGTCCGCGTTTTTTGTAGCAGGACTTTCACAACTTGTACTAAAAGTCCTTAAAAAAAAAGTTCATGTAAACATATATGTATAGATGCGTCGTTTTCGATTTACAGAGTATTCAAGTTTAAAATAAGAATTGATTTTTTATTCGTAAAACGAAAACCCCTTTTTAGATTTTGTTGAAACTTGGCAACTTTGTAATAATAATACTCATTTTCTCACATAATTTAATTTGTCCCATTTTCTCCAGTGGCGTCACAACAAGATACCAAAAAATATGGTACGCCACTGCTTTTTGGTAAGTGAAATTTTTCTCAGATTTAGCTATCAAAAACACAACTTTTTTTGTTATTTAATTTTTTGTCCTATCTTGCTTTGATTAGTCAGAAATAAAACATTTTCATGAATAGGTTCGAGATTTGCTTAATTTATTTATTTACTTGTTACAAAGTGTGCCGTGAATATGTCTGTTTTTGAGTTGCCAAGGATTTTTTATTGGGACCTTACATCCTGCCCAAAGATTAAGCGGTCAATTATTCCTTGAATTTTTAACTCCCTAGCATGATAACATGCTAGACGATGTTCCTTTTAAACAAAGAATATACTCGTTTTTTCAATTAGATGGATGCCTCTTTGGTGGTACGAAATTGGCTGAATACAGAGTATCCACAGAGATGGGTAGATCGTGGAGGTCCAGTTGGGTGGCTTCCGCGATCGCCTGATCTAACACCTTTGAATTTTTTTGTTTGGGGATTTATTAAGGATGCAGTTTACTCTACGCCTGTTAACTCGCAAGAGGAACTTGGACAACGAATCCGGAACGCTGCTCTCAGAATAACTCCACATCATTTGAGAGACGTTAGGCGGTATTTGATACGTCGCTGTAATTTGTATGTAGAACGAAATGGCGGGCATTTCGAACAGCTCCTTTGAGGTCTATTTATACAATAAGTTGTTTTTTCACACCGTGTTGTTTATTTTTTTTATTATCTTACAATAAACTGTGCGAAACAAAAAGTTTTATTTCTGTCTAAACAAAGCAAGATAGGAAAAAAAAGTAAATAACAAATAAGTTGTATTTTTGATAGCTAAATCTGAGAAAAATTTCAAACTTACCAAAAAGCAGTGGCGTACCAAATTTTTTTCTATTTTTATCAAGCTGGTATCTTGTTGTGACGCCACTGGAGAAAATAGAACAAATTAAATTATGTGAAAAAATGAGTATTATTATTACAAAGTTGCCAAGTTTCAACAAAGTCTAAAAAGGGGTTTTCGTTTTACGAATAAAAAATCAATTCTCATTTTAAACTTGAACACTCTGTAAATCGAAAACGACGCATCTATACATATATGTTTACATGAACTTCTTTTTTAAAGGACTTTTAGTACAAGTTGTGAAAGTCCCGCTACAAAAAACGCGGACACCCTGTATATACATTTATTTAACTTTGTTTTATTTATTGGATATATTTTCCATACAAGGCACACCCTCCTAGAAACTAAAATATTGCCCACACCTTACCTAAAATTTCCTTTATTTATTGCCTCTGATTATGACTTTGATTATGGGAAACATAAAATTTAACTTTTTTTATGAGACACCACTGGTGATGGAGAAAAAATGATGGACAAAATTCGTAATTAGATATATTTACTCGCCGTTCAGGGCCAACTGATAATATTTTAGATATATGTAGATATTTGTAATGAATTCCGTATATCTACTTGACATATGTATAAAAAATATTCTTATACAGAATTGTGAAAAAAATTTAGTTCACTTTTTGCTTGTGACTTTTACTTGCGAGAGCTTTAGTATTTTTTCCAAATATTCGTCTCAGGAGGAGCTTAATAACATAGTAGAATACTACTACACAGAGAATAATAAAACATATGACGTCAAGGAGGTATAGTTGGAACCAGTACAATTCTATGGCAGCATTTCTTAAATGAGGTGCCCCACCGCGTCTAATAACAAATTCTATCCAGAACATTGCCACATCCAGGGGCTTTGCCATTTGATCCCTTAATACATTAGACAGCTCCTTCGCATTTCTTGAAAACCTAAACACAATAAATAGTGACGGTGTCAAAAAATTGTGTACCTAGGTACAGATCGACAGAAATAAATTTGCGTCTCTGACTGTGGCAGAACCGTGCGAGATTGAGAAAGAACGCATTCGTCTAGATCTAGAAGGAATAAATCCTCCAATTTCTATCACAGAAGTTGTCAAAGTCGAAGGTTGCGTAGTACTGGCATGGGAATTTAACAGCATAATACTAGCGTTGTAAATTATATCCTTCAGTTTTATATTTCCGGGGAAATATTTAGTTAGCAATTCTTGTTGTCGAGGAAAAGCGACTAGTTCTTTGTAGATAGCTTCAAACCAGCTTAGGAAAACGTTGTTTAATCTTTGAAAAAAGGTCATTTGGTCTGTGTACGGAGACAACGACAAAGGATTGATGGATGGAGGTCTTATGTTGCCAACAGGATGAGAATTCCATTCGGAGAGACCTATCGAACAAAAACTAATGAATGGGGGCGTTGAAATGAGCGGCAAACCCCATATGGGCCTCGTTTACGAATTGTTCTACAATCACCAAGTCGAACGTTTCGTTGGAATGTATTAGTTGTTGCACTTTCTCATGAGCTAAAATGTACTCTGTAATCACCTGCCCGAACATTTCGAATAAGATTATTGATGTGAATAAATTGGCGCCCTCTTGCTGGTATAGGTTCCCTGTAAAGTGAACGTATGAAAACACTAGAAATTGCAAACATTTCGGAGAATAAAAAGTTATTTGGTGTCTTAATCCGATAATAGAGGTGGCTACCTACAGTAAGTAAGTTTTGTTAAATTACAATATTTTGGGCATCCCTACATGCATTTCCTCTGTCTCAGTTTTTAAGCGGGACGCCCTGTATATTAGATCTCACATTATAGAGAAAAAGTTGAGAGTAAAAGAATTTATAGAATTTTTTGAAGTGGCTTTTGCTGATAGAATGGAGAAAAATTATTGCTGGTTTTTGTTGGAAAATATCATAAAAATAGATTAACTCACTTAGCTAATCTCAAAACAAAATAATTTATCGGATTAACAAAAAAAAAGATCAAGTGGGATTTCACCTGTATTACATTAGTACAGTCACCTCCTTTAAAAACATTAATAAGGTCGTCAACCAAGATCGGTTTGTAATTCTCGATATCTTCCTTAGGTTTGTACGGACTAATAACAGTAACTTCATGACCTCTTCTTGCCAATTCCGTCATTAGTTTTTCACCCAAAATAAACTGACTGTAACCAGGACTAGGAAATACGGCCAGGATTTTCGCGCATTTTACGAAATATACGACTTTTAGTAAAAGAATTAAATGAAACGGAACTTTCATTTTTGAATTATTAAAAATATTAATTTAGTAACTGGTGAGCTGTAGCGGATTATTTCTCAACGTTTGTTGAGAATAACTTTTTTAAAGGAGTGTTACCAGTTCCACGGTGGCTATCGCGATCGAACTGGCAATTCTGATGTCATCATTTCAATGTTGTATGTCGCTCTTATTTATTTGGCGGGATTAACGTACAGTGCCGGTTTAAGTATAATTCGTCTTAAGGACAAATTTTTTTAATAAAAGAAAACGTGAAATTTTTGGAAAATATTTCCTACACGGTGCATAGAAAACAGGAATTTTTTTTAGAAAAATTCATTTTTTAAATAACTCCTATACTTACAGAGTGTAAATAAATAAGTGCGGAAAAATAAGATGGGTTTTCTTCATATAAAAAAATTTAATTTCATATAAAGAAATTTCATTTGAAGATACAACCGCTTAAAGAAGGTGCCAAAATAGTAGTTTTAAATTTTTGCTGAAGTACCAAAAAAGTGAGAGAAATGAAATTAAGTAGATATTTTCTGCTATCGAGAAGGCACTCAGTAAATTTGTTGATTTTCTCCTACGGTTGTAAGGGGTGTTGCATACGTGGGTAACTTTTTTCTTATTACCTTACTGTTTAAAAATTCATTTTAGATAGCCCGATTCATTCTAAAAAAAGGTCTCGTGATTTTTAAAAATTTTTAAATTAACAATTTCTGAGCAAGAAATTTATTTAAAATCAGTTTCATGGCATGATTTGTAAAAGGTAGAAATTTTATCGAACTGTAATTTATCTAGTAGGTGGCTATCGTGTCGACCATTTTGTAATGGCAACTTAATTGTTGTTAGTAAGGTTAAAATTATTGTTATTTGTTGATACACTGTGATCGTTTTGAGAACTTTTTTGTGCAAATTCATTAAGATGGAGGTCTAATGTAGAAATAACAACTGTAGCCTTACTAACAACAATCAACTGTCATTACCAAATGTCAATGTGACAGCCGTCTACTAGATAAATTACAGTTCGATAAAATTTCTATTCTATGCCAATCATGCTCATGTAACTGAAATTAAATAAATTTTTTGCTCAGAAATCGTTACTCGTTAATCGAGACCTTTCTTGTTTAGAATGAGTTAGGCTATCAGAAATGGGAAGATATACATATAAATTTAACAAATAATTTAAGTGAATTGTTCGATGAGAAAAATGAGTCATTAAAGTTAATTTATACTTTAATAACATAAAATAACATTCCCATTTACACCAAAAATTACTTTGTTAAAGCATTTTAAGTTAAAGCAACTGATCTGGTTTACGAAATTTTCATGGTTATTTTATTTTTACAAAAGTGGCATTTTTATGGTTTAGTTTAACACGTTCCCATAGATTTGTGGGTACACATGTCTGTAACCTATTTTAAGTATTACGTCGGACCGGTCTAACAGTTGCAAGGACAAAGAACAGACGCGGGACGCACCGGGGTTCCAGGAAAGGTCCACGGCAGATTGGCGCCAGAAACTGAATACGTATACCTGCGAGCGACTCAACACCAGGATAATCTTCAAGGAACGCTCGCCTCGACAACATTTCTTCTCACTAAATTTTGTTTTTAATAAAAATACTTTTATTTTAACGTTGAGAGAGAGTTTCATTTTTGCTGCGCACGGAAAACAACCTTCAAATTTGTATGTACATGATATCTGATTGTAAGGGAAGGTTTGGAATCTATTGATAAACGTTGTACCAGATAAAAAGTCAGAAATCGCAGCATTTTTCCTACTTTTGGAAGGAAACATAATTTTACATAATTAAGTACTAGGTAAATAAACAAGAAAATGGTAATTGTTAACTATTCAGAAGGCAAACATATTAAAACAGCAAATAATAAAAAGAAAACTATATTTTCATTATTGGCAATAAAATAACCATAGTTTTAAGCAATTAATATTACTGCAATTAATTCTTTAATGGTAAATAAACTATACATTGTTAATTTTCAGGTATTATTGAATTATAACAACTGCTTCTTTTTTAATTTAAAAAAGTACTACAGCTCAATGAGTGAATAAATTTGTAGGTAAAACCCTGCATCAGTCTAGTTTCTGTCCAACTTTAATTTTTCTCAAAACTCTTCTGTTAATGCTTCTAATGATAGTTCTTAGCGTACAAAAAATAATAGCAAGTACCAATGCTGCAGCAACACCTACTGCAAGGATTACATCTAACAGCAGCCTCTGATACCACTTTAGATTTAAAGCGGGCGACCTATAATGTGGCGCCCCTTTGTGCCTGATGACGTATTCGATCCAAAACATCGCCTCGTCGATTTGTTTAAGTGGTTGGTCGCGCATTATTCTCGACCGCATTTTTGCGTTGTCTCTGTATCTAAAACGATAAACTAATCAGTGCATTAATATTTTCAGTTTCTGTTAGATGTTTCAATAGCGAAAATAAATATCTCAAACTATTGAAACTAACTTCATTTTCAGGTATTGATTTAAAAAACAGCATACATACATAATGTACACGAAAAATTTATTTCTTACTTTGGGTTATTGATCAACTCATTCAATGCCCGGTAGAAGTTCTCTTCTGTCAGTTGCCGGAAAGGAATGGTGAGAGCGATACCATGACGAAATGATTCACGACAATTCTTCATTTGGTCCCAAAAAACTGGAAGTCCTAACATAGGAACACCATGGTAAACAGCTTCTATTTTTCCTAGTAGTCCTCCATGTGAAATAAATGCAATAACATTTGGGTGGCCTAAAACGAATAAATAAAAAAAATTGATAGTTGTTGGTTGAATATTCTCAACGATAAGGCAAGTTGTGACAATAAAAAATGTCGACTTGTGGTCAGTTTGTATGAAGATGAAGTGGATAAATGTAGGTCAATGATATATCTCGATTTAAATAAATAATTAAAAAGTCTCGCCCGATAGAAATTAAAATTTTACATAACAATATCATAAAAACAATTTCTACCAGATTAAAAATTAGTCATTTACTAAAAAATTTCTTTTTTTTACTCTACTTTTGTAGAGAATAATATTTAATCGCAAAAAAGCCTACTAACTGTTAATTTGTCCGCAAATCATCAACACCCTGAGCAGCAGTTTCTGTTGTCTTGGTTGCATAGTTTATATTTAAGCAGAATCCAATCCTGATACAAACGCTTACGAAGTTAAAATGCCGTATGAGATTAGCGTGGCGAAGCCACAGCGAGTTAAACTGTATGAATTGAATTAAATACTAAATATCTTACACAGTCTTCGGCTTATTTGCACTTTTGCACGCAGTGTATATATTCTTAGCACTGAGCGTAAAAATGGAAATAAATCGAAACATCTGCTATATCTTTGGAGAAGTCAGACAAAAAAAAAACAAAAAACTATCACACTTGATTTTAAGTCCAATTTGAGAATGCAAACAGGGAGTACAGGAAGTTTTCAGAAACGTTGACTGTGTCATATGTGCTGTAGTGACTATTGTGTAGTCGCGAAGAATTATCTACTTTCTCAGTCTGACATATATTTGGTTAGGCAAAACTAAATTTATAAAATCAACCTTTTGATGATACTTTTGGCAATTTATTTTATTTTATAAATTGCAGTGGCGCATAACGATCCAAATAAATAAAAAACAGTAACTGAAAATGACACAACTAAATACCTACAAACAATATCTCTATCCTATTATTCCATCAAATTCATACTTGCCTAGAACGTCTTGCTGAGGCAACCAACTAACGATCTTCACATTCTCGGGCTTCTCAGGCAAATCGTCTTCATATTTCCACAGCACCTTTTGCTTTAGCTTAGAAAATACTTTAATAATAATCTTCAGTTTCTCTTCAGGACAATCAGTACTTTTCAAAACGGATCCCATGGAGAAAAATAAAACACCTTCCGTAGCGTTGTCCAAAAATTGTTGAAGATCTTTAGGCAAAGGTTTAGGGGGCAACAAATGATAACCTCCAATTTCCTTGACATTGGGTTGTAATGGAGAAGGGTCTCTTAGACTTACATGCGACACCAGAAGCATAAAACTAGCATTGTACAGAATGTCCCTAAGGTTAGGCGCTCCAGGTACAATTCTCTGCAAGATTTCATTTTGACGTGGTATATTTACGAAATGGACGAATAGTTCTCCCGCAGTGTCGTAGTAAACGTTGATTATTCTTTCCCATAACGTCATCTCTGATCCGAAACTTGTTAATAAGTTGGGAACGTATGCAGGTTGAGAGGGATTGGCAAAAAGGTGATTGCTGAAAATTGTGGTAGGGCCAGGAGCTAATATTATCATGGGACACTTGAATTTGTACTGGAATATCGCCATTGGTTCATAGAAGAAATTGTTTATGAGCACGAGATCAAAATGTTCGTCAGAATGTAAAAGCTCTTGAACTTCTTTAACTTGCAAGACTTTCTCTGTGTACGAGTTGCCCACATGAGCTGTGAATGATATTTGTGAAAGGTACGTCCATTTGGAGATTTCGTAAATTGATTTACGTTTTTCTGAAAACAAAAGTCATATTTGTATTACTTTAATGTGATAATGACTCAACATAATTGTTTAAGTATTACCCAAAATATATTTAATTTGTTTAAGCTGCTTATTTTGGTATACACAATATAGCTTACTTCAAATTGAATATGTGAAACCACAGACCAGATAGATTGAATGATAGGGAAGCAATAGCCACTATATTACTAATTTAACCATTGTTAAATGTATTGTGGACAATTGTTCTAATAGAATAAGTGAACAAAGGAAATGCAAAATCCAAAATAAAATAGGGAATAAATGTCATGAAAAATGGAGTCAATATCGTAAAAAAATTTTTTATAAAATCTTTAGTTTCCGAGAAAAAAATTATTGAAGTTGTAATATTTTCAATCGTTACATCACTGGGCTACTGTAGCCTCTAGCGTCATTCGTCCACGTGGCTCCATTCGATTCCGAATACTGAGATCCGACTTTAGTATTATCGTTGTTGCGATAGTGTTTACATTAGTTTTTCAAGTGTCAAAAATGGCTTACGTGTATAGCAACTTGGAGTTGATCGATATCGTTTTAACTTATGGTGAAGCAAGACAATATTTGATGAAGCATTTGTGTTATGGTGAAATATTTATGTTATGGTGAAGCCTTTGTGTTATGGTGAAGCATTTGTGTTATGGTGAAGTATGACAACATTTGTGTTCATTCGTTGAAATTGGGTAAGACGGCCTCAAATGTGTTTACAGGTCGGTGGACAAAATTTTGAATAGTAGTTGTAACATCAGATATGTCAAATTATTTTATTAATTAAAACCACAAATTTTATTAATTAATAATAACAATAGGGGCAAAAGCAGTTGGATTTGCTGATATAAAATAGGTGCCATAAAATTTTATTTATCTCTCTCCTTGGGCAAGAAATTCTTTTAGTTTTTTGTCTGTTCATTTTTTATTTATAACTGCCCTTTTTTATTTTTTACAAAATTGTATTTGTAAGAGTCCCCTGTACATTCAAACATTTTGTTTTTGTATAAGCTCTGAATCACCCTGTATATTCAAAGTGGGTATTAGTGGGTGCATGAGAGGACTTTTTGTATAAGAAGATCATGAACAGCTGAAAAAAGTTAAGAAAGATGTGGCATAGGACATTTTATGGGTGATGCAAGAACACCTCAATTTTATTGCCTTCCAAGGGTACAGAGGCAGAACATACCGACCTATAGTAACTACAGTTGGGTCAGTCTCTCACACTAAATTAAAGACTCAAAAACGCTGGCGATTTTATTGACAAAATCAAGGGAAACCAGTTGACTCCTGGGTCTTACTTGTAATATTTTAGTCATAAAAGTACCAATTAAACAAGCTTTGAAAGAATTTCATCGGAGGGTAATTGTAGAAAACAAGGGTGATAATGGACCTTCTCCTGTACAGATCAGTTTTATGAAGAAACTGGAGGAGCATCTATTCGTATACTTTTGTCTTCAGTTTTGTATCTACATGGAAGTCTTAGAGAAAGCCCTTATCGTTTTGTTTAGTTTTATATGAAGTATAAAAAGAGAGAAATTTTCTGAATTCTAAACTAAAATTTACCATATTCTACGATAATACACCATGATACTCTATTTCACTCTCTTCACAAAAACATTACAAAAATATACTTACATGAAACCTTTAAAACGCTTTTTCTCGAAATTACATTCTTTGCCTGATTGTGATCGTTTACTTTATTTTAAAGGTGATAAGCTAATTTAAATATATTCCAAAAATTGTTGTAATCAAACAATGTTCTTTTGTAACAAAAATTTAGGTATGCAAAAGATATTTAACTCATAGTCAAGAACTGATTATATTGCGGTAAACAACTGTTTTGCGGGCTATATTGGGGTGTCAAAATTTAATTCTTTCAAGAAGTTTTGTGTTTCATGTATATATATTTTTTTATAAGAAGGCAGTTGAAAAAGACATACTCAAAAAACAGAAATAGCGGAGCTCTATCTATCGTCGCTATATTTATGTGTCGTTCTTTGTCAAAGGTGGTGTTAGAATTAAAATAAAAGATATTTTTAGGAAAGATTACATTATTTAATGGTTTAATTAATATTCATATACGTGTTTTTCAATTAATGATATTTGCATAAGCAATTTTTAATTTTTATTTTAGGGCATATTGGTATTCAATGTTGGTCGGGGCAAATAGTCCGCAGAGTAATTGTTTCCCGCAAAAACATCAGTTAAAAACCCTGTCTACAATATTAGACAACTTTTGCCTAGATTTTTGGTATCAAAAAACATTGTATGACTTCATTTGATAAAATTCTAGGAATATATTTGGAATTTATTTGAATTAACTTAATACTTCAAAGTAAATCATTCATTTAGTGGTACTCACGTGTCAGTACGTGCCTTACTTCTTCCACTGATATATCTCTCAAGTTTTTAATGGGTTCCTTCTGCGGAAAAGAGTTAATAAACGTTACTTGGTGTCCCCTGTCCGCCAGTTCTTTGGCCAGCCGGAAGCCCAGGATGAAATGGCTGTGGGAACCCAACGCAGATACAACAAGGATTCTCGCCCCATGGCTCAAAGTAACGAATACGCCAATTATCAGTAGTGAAGAAAATACATTTCTCATTTTTCAGAATGCTTAACTAAGGCAACTACAAAACTGTTCAACTGTCGCATGTGAAACGGGTCATTTATACAGGTGTCTGTCTAATTTGCTGGTACGTACACTGAGAAAACAGCTTTTAGTTTATTTTAGCAGAATATACCTTTTGTATTTTTTAACATCAAACTTTCAAATATCTCGAGAAATAAGCAACCTACGAAAAAAATATCAATAATCAAAATTTAATCATTCCGCAAGGGAAGTAAGTTAGTGGTAAAGTTAATCCTTCTCCCCCACCCCTTGTAGGTGAAGAGGGGGTAACTTTGAAATTTACGCATAAAAGTATGTAGGATTTATCTGAAACATTTTTTTCAATTCATCCTCAAACCTCAAAAATGTTAAAAATCGTGATTTTGGCACTCTTAGGTTAGGAAATCTCTGTGTTATCGTAACCCAGAAACAGGCGTCCTATTTCGGATACTCGTCAATGCGATTTCCTTCGTTTATGACTTATCGGAGTGCTTGATTAAATCTGCTCTCAAATGAATGATTTTTTTGTATTTTGTTTTAAAGATACCACTTCCTTTGTTAAAAATAATTTTTATAAAAATGTTTCATTATGTTCACATTTAACGTTTGTGTTATTTCTTTCTTCGTGTTTTTTTATGTGACTGCCAAAACATAAAATAGACGTAGAAAGAAAGAAATAACTTTAAGAAACAAGTCATTTTAATCAAGCACTTCGAAGGGAATAGAAAACTACTATATCCACGTCGTTGTTCCTAGTTACGCTAAAAGCAGTTCACCAAGCATTTACATTTCTGCAGGTAACAATTTCCCAGTTATTCGAAATTTGCAAAATGAATAAACTTTTTTGGCGACGAATTTCGAGTATTTATATAAAAGGTAGTATTTTTTATTAAACACATTTGTGGAATCGTATGCATAGGTTCTCTGTAGGAGAAATGGAGTAAAATTGAATTTCATGGATCAATCATGAATCGAAAAAAATGTTTCATACAAATCCTACTTACTTTTAGCCGTAGACTTCAAATCTTCAATCAAAAATGAGGGTTCCTATTTAAGATTTCAAAGGTACCCCCCTCCCCACATACAAGAGGTGGCGGAAAGTGACAAATGTTAGCATTAATATATTTTCCCAGTAGAAAAATTAAATTTTGATTTTCGTAAGGTGCTTATCTAAGATATTAGAATGTTTCAAGTTAAAAAACACATTAGTTATATCAAAATAGCAAAAATGGCCATTCAAATGTATGAATACTGTGAAGAGAAGTTTGACACAATATGTTTGAAAGTAGCGATCGCCATTGTTTGTCAAAAAAATTGTAGTCTGAAAATAAGTTGCTTCAATTCAATTTGAAATTTAATGGGTATAATTTTTTTACTGACTGTTCTAAGTTTTTTTTCTAATTTTAACCCTAGTAGAAACTCATTTTAGGAGGTATCTTCATACCTCTTTTATGTTGATAAATTTACTCGTAAATTTACGCGTAAATCTTTTTCTTAAATTCTCATGTGTTTCTTATTTAAGAATTAATTTTGTAAAAATTACTGTGGGCATCGCTACAAAAATGTATATTCTAATTACCGCAATAAAATTATTATTATATTTATATTATTATTCTTTTTTTAATTACGGGAGGCTTGTACTTTTTTATTCTGCGTTATTTAAAATGCTCTGCATTGGTCCTAAATTTAAAAATAGTTTGTAGTTTTATAACGAATGCGTTCCAGTGTTAATTACAACTCGCTTTATTTATGTTATCAATATTTTTAAAAAGATATGGAATAAATATGGCGAAATATAACTTATGGAGCGACATGTTTTTCTAGGCGTAACACTTTTTAATTAGGTACCGAACACGTTAGTGCAAGGTTGAAATATCAAATAGACTGCGAAAAAGCTTTTTACTCAAAACCAACACAATTTTTTGTTAAATCTCGCCCATACCCGATTATGTTGAAAATAATAAAACTATTCGTTGAGTAATGTTCACTCGACTATTTGTTAGTTAAATAAATCTTATATTGATAACATTAAATATCTCTTGAGTTAGCTGTGTGTATCATATTGGTAAACTACACTTAATAGTAAAGTCTTTCTGATGTCAATTGAAGACCAAAGAGCTAGGCAGTAGGTTCGGTCGCTACGCATCAACTCGGTATTGAAATATTTTGAAAAATTTGTTCTCATATTTATTTAGCCATACCTATATACAGGTCTGGTCGAACTAAACGTGCAGATGGTAGAAATGTATACGCCCAGTTGAAGAATGCGCAAGCGGGCAAACGGCGCAGAAACCGATCTGGGCGACTGGGCCACAAATTTCAGTTGTCGACATATTGCCTAGCAGTGCAGTGCAGCAATGCAGAATTTTATTGTTGATTATTTTTATTTAATAACTTTTCTAACCTAAACTAATAACCTTTCCTCATCCTTTCCTGGCAAGGATATGTTCATACCTTCCCGTTAGTTCATGCCGAGCAGTAATATACTTTTTAATGAAAATGTAAATGTTTTTTGATATGTCATAATAAATTTACCATGAATATAATTAAATGTTAAAGTAGTAGGCAGCCAATTTAACTCGATTTGCAAAATTCGTTTGAAAAACTCATGGGCTTCGCATAGTTCGTTTTTACATCGGGTTTACAGCGGTGGTCATGGTTACCGTCGTGCAGCAGTGAAAGAATGAGAGTAGCGTATACAGGGTGGTCCAGATTTTAATAGACAAACTTCGGGAAAGTACTAATCAACAAAAATTAACATCACTTTGCTCTATGAACAGAGGCGCAAAAACATCCAAATTTTTTTTTTTTTGGATAAATTCTGAGTCAATAGTACTTAAAGTAAAACTGACTTAAAACTTAACTTAAGAATGTTTAATAATAAAAAATTTTGAAACTTCATGTCACGTCGCACGAAGTCTACAGTATCTATAGAACACTAGCAACTAATAGACACACACGTTTTATCTACAATGGAAAAGAACACGATAATCAATAATTTTATTGTAAACAGCTAGAAATGGACCAGGAAAAATTTATTACTCCTTTTAGCGGATACAAAGAGTTGGTGTATTAAATTAAATCAATAACTGAACTCGCAAATACTATTATCCATTTTTTTATAAATTCCATATTTTGGATAATAAGAGATATATTGATTGAAATATATTAGATTTTTTCAGCTGCGTGTACAATCTCACGTAGGTATTTAAAAAAGAACTGAAATGATTCGATGAATTTTGTATCACTCAAAAAAGTTGAATAAACCATATTGAGAAATTATGTCACTTTGGAGGTTGATTTCAAAATGAAACAAAATTCTATCTTTTAAAAAAGCACCTAGATTTAATCTCGTTGAATTAATCTCATTCATGTATTCTGTATTCAGTCAGTTTATCGATCGAGCGGTTGAATAGAAACAAAAAATAATAACGAGAATGGAATAGTTTTATAACAGACAATAAGACAAACGCGTTTGACGTAAAATGTTCTTATTTTAATTGTTTCTCAAATGTAAATAAACATTATTGTATTGTGTATTATATTAACAGTTTTTTTGTAATAGGTATTTAACTTTAATCTAATTTCTTTATACTTTTTCTTTTTCTCAGAACTTTGTTGTAAATACCTTTAATGACACTTCTCCATATATAAAAAATAATTGCAAGTATCACTGTTGCAGCAGCACCTACTACAAGAACTACATCTAGCAACAGCCTTTGGTACTATCTCAGATCAAGCGCGGGCGATCTATAATGTGGCGCCCCCTTATGCCTGAGTGTCTGTCATGCATTCTTTTGAAAAATTTATTTTGTATTTGTGAATTAAATTAAAATTATTAATTTTATACTATGTGATATTCTTTAATTGATACTTATTTTATATTCAGAGTTTTTATATTAACTTTTATACTATTTTATTGTTTGCTATATTAATAATTAATTTTTATTTCTGATCCAAAGTTCGGTCAGATAATTTTTCATTCGTGATTCTTTGTTTACATTTCCAATTCGTTACAATATGTTAATATTGGAAACACCGTTTGTATGAATTCTAATCCAGTATTTAACAAGTTGTGAGGTGCACGAGGACATCACACATTCTTTTCGTGATATAGAGCAGAAACATTTTATCACGAAAAGTAAATTATTAATGTACTTTGAACGGTTCGTGTTTTGTTTTAATAGGCCAGCAATTATTTTTTGTAATAGTAGTGAATTACAATTAATTCCTGGTCCAAATTGTTGTAATTTTATCAGAAGTCAGCACGATAAAAAAAATTAATATGAGCACATGTTTTAAATTAGTTAACTGCTATTAGTTAACTAATGGAAACGTTTGTTTTATCTTGTGCAAAAGTAGTTTTTATGATATTCCTTCCAGCAGTGTTATAATTCTTTATTAAGTTTAGTTAGTGATATTTGAGATATGTCCCTTTGTTTAGTATTGCGTCTTTCTTTTTCTTTCAGGGCGGGTCATCGTTAAAGATTTCGTCGATGTCTTCTAAGAAAATTGCATACAACGTATTGAAAATGTATATCATTATTACGAAATTCTTTTAATTTTGATAAAAGTGAATTAATTCTCTTTTTAGAAAATGTTACGTCAATTAATTTATTCTTCAAAATTTGGAATACAACATCGGATGTTCAAAAATTATTGTAAAGGTTTTCAAGAAAAAAATTGTTTTAATCCATAAATGGATCCTAAAGTTTGTTGATCATTTAAAAAATCCCCACTATCCAATATGAAATCAAAAATCTCAATAAGTTTCTTTCTATAAGTTTTGACCGTAAAAGCAGCTCTAGAAGAAAAATTCCAACGAGTAGAAGCATTACTTGGAATCCTGTTTTGCATTATTTTTTTAATACGTCAGATATTTTAGTAGATTTGGAAAAAAAATGCTCACTTCTTTAATTCCGTTGCAAGCTTTACTTAAAACTAAATTGAATTTATGTGCGTAACATTGATTAAAATAATTTTGAGGAGCGACGTCTTTTACTTTTCTTTGAGGTCTATTAACATGACCAGACATTACCGCGGCATTCAGCACCATCATAGATTAGCAGTTAATTTATTTTATAAGTCAAATTTTCCAAATTCATTAATTAATACATAATATAAACAAACTATCTGCATCTCGCCCAGTTGTTATGTCAGAAAATCCAACAAATCTTCCAACAACTTCTCCATCTACTACGTATCTAAAAATTACTGATAATTGAGACTTACAGGTAACATCCGTGGTTTCAATTTGCCAGTAGAAAAATTCGCTATTATTTAATTCGTTATAAACTTTACTTTTTATAATTGAACTATTACTCTCAATTAAATCGTTTTGAATGGTTTTAGAGGTTCCTCTAACGAGCCGCCACTGTATACGTTAAAATTTGGTACAAATATGTTTTTGAGGATGCTATTAAAACAACCAGTAGTGTGTTAATAATGAACGATTTTAATTATGTACGCGTACATAGTCCTTTCAAGTAACTCTACATCGCTATTAATTTAAATTTTAAACCATCCAAAATAATTCTAAAGCACATGATTATTGAATCGTTGTAAGGAAACATATACGAGTATATATGGTTGCCTAACAATAAGAAAAGTTTGGTGAATTACAGACGTCCTTCTTCATTTTCTTTGTGGCAAAATCATCATAATTACCAGTTTTTCTAAATTCCATCAATCTAGTTTCTGTTCCTTCCTTTTCAAATAGTTTTTGTTAATACTATTAAGCATCCATTTCAGTAAATAGGAAATGATGACACAAATCGATACTACAGTTACACCTACTACAAGAATTACATCCAGCAAGAGCCTCTGATACCACTTGAGATTCAGCGCGGGCGTCCTAAAGTGTGGGGCCCCCTTATGCCTGATGACGTATTCGATCCAAAACATCGCTTCGTCGAGTTGTTTCAACGGTTGGTCGTGCATTATCTTCGATCGCGTTTTTGCGTTGTCTCTATATCTGTAATAAAAATCAAATAAATGGTGTCATAGGTTAGACATATTGCGATAGATAAAGGAATATCGCACCGATTTTTGTATCTTTATTCACAGCAGTTTTATCTTAATTTATCTCGTTAGAGAGTGTCTAGGATTATGAAATTTGTTATGGCTGATTTGGTACTAGAAAAAAAATTATTATCACCTTATTGGAAAATTATCGCAAATATGATAAAAGATGCTAGTTGCATAGTGTACATAAATAATATAAGTACGTGCTAAAATAGCGACACTTCAAGTCCATGATAACTTTATTTGAATGCTTGGAAATATTCTACGTTTAAAATTAATAATTGAATTTGGCAATTATGTGGTTGATCTCTAAACACTAAATAAAGAACTATATTTAAATATTTTTTATGATTTTTTAAAAATTTTGGACCTTTGGATAACATTTTAATATGCCATTTCTTAACCTGAGTTCTATTTTTGCAAAAAATCCTACAAGGAAACCAAAAAATAAAACATTTGTAGATAGAGACTGAAATATGAAAAAAAAATGTTAGTTCACTGCGACTATTCACAATTTTACAAAAATACAAAAGTATTTTTTTTAGGGAAGAAGTTTGAGACAAAAATTTATCAATTCTTGTAAGAATCCACAGCAAAATGTAAGAAAATGTGCATTTATGTCACTCCAATTAAGAACCAGTGGTATCTTTTTCCCTAAAAAACCTCTAGGGGTATTTGTTCAATTATTCCACCAATAGTCGCACTTGGCCATGACCTTGAAATATAAGACAAATCCCACCAAAAAAGTTCATTAAAAAAGTGAGGAAAGTGGCTAGTACTTAAGGAAAACTCCTTGTACATAGTCACTTACTTGGAATTATTTATCAATTCGTTCAGAGCCCAAGCGAAGTTCTTCTCGGTGAGTTGAGGAAACGGGATGGTGAGAGCGAAACCCTGACGAGCTGCATCATATCCGTTTTTCTCTTGATCCCAATAAACCGGAAGTCCTAGCATAGGAACGCCGTAGTAGACTGCTTCTATCTTCCCTAGTAGTCCCACATGGGTCACGAAGGCGACGATATTTGGATGAGCTAGAACAGAGGAAATAATTTTTGGCAGGATTTGAAATTGTTGAACTAATGATATTACGGAAAACCATTACTCTGTGGAACTATATCAATGGTGTAAACCGACCACATGACAACTAGCCCGGAAATTGCTCAAACTAAGCACGCATCAAGTGTCCTGTCCTTGGAACGTGTAATAATAGAAACCACATGTCTGTGTACTTACCCAAGACATCTTGCTGTGGCATCCAGCTGACTATCTTCACGTTGTCCGACTTCTCTGGCAAATCTGTCTCGTACTTCCACAGCACTTTTTGCTTCAGTCTTGAAAATACTTTCAAGACTGCTTCCTTCTTCTCCCTCGAAAAATCAGCGCTCCTCAAGAAAGATCCCATAGAGAAGACTATGACCCCCTCTTTAGCGTTGTCCAAAAACTCCTGGAGATCTTTGGGCAAAGGTTTAGGAGGTAGCAAGTGGTAACCTCCAATATCCTTCATATTAGGCTGTAGTGGAGCAGCGTCTCTGAGACTTATATGCGAAGTTAGGAGCATGAAACTGGCGTTGTAAAGGATATCTCTAATGTAAGGTGCCCCAGGTACATATTTTTGCAACAGTGCGTTTTGGTTTGGTATATTTACCAATTGAACGTATAATTCTCCTACGACGTCATAGTAGACGTTGAGTATTCTTTCCCACAGCGTTGTGTGCGTTCCAAAATTGGCCGCCAGGATGTTTGGAACATAAGCAGGTTGGGAAGGATTGGCGAAAAGGTGGTTGTTGAAGATTGTGGGAGGGCTTGGCGTGAGTATCACAGAAGGGCACTTGAATTTGTACTGGAATATCGCCATTGCTTCGTTTAGGAAGTTCTCTATGAGTACGAGATCGAATTTTTCGTCGGATTTTAGGAGTTTTTGGACGCCCTTAGCTCTTAGGACGCTCTCCGTGAACGAGTAACCGAAAGCTGATACATAGGCTAGCTGTCCGGTGTAGGTCATCTGACCCATGTCGTAAAGCTCTTTCCTTTTTTCTAGAAAAAGTAAATGTTTTTATAGTTTACAATAGTCCAAAACATCTATGTTTTTGTTGTACTTTTTATAAGATTGTTTATAATATTTTGGATTATCCAAATATACAGAGTGATTCACAATTTATCCAAAACAATTTGGGAATAGATGCGGCATGAGAAATGGGGTCAATATCGTAAAAAAAATTGTAAAATCCTTATAGCTTGTGAAAAAAAAATTATTGAAATTGTAGTACTTTCAACTATTACATAGCTGGCAACTGTAGTCTCTATAGCGTCATTCGTAATGCGCGTGGAGAGCCACGTGGCCTCAGCGACTCCGAATACTGAAATCCGACTTTACAGTCGACGTTGCCATAGTGTTTACAATAGTTTTTTAGTAGTTAGTGTCAAAAATGGAACAGTTCTAACATCAGGTATGCCAAATTATTTTATTATTTAGAACTACAAATTAATTTTATTAATTAATAATTAAAATAGCGGCAAAATCAACAACAACTTTTATTAAGGTCATTAACGTGCCCAATTTTTGTCACATAATGCGCAGTAACTTGTTAAGTATTAGACATTTGATACCTATTAAAGCCATTTTGCTCTAAAAAAATGTTTAGGAAACCACCCCCATAGCGCAAGTCGTACCAGGAGTTAGAGTGCGATCTTTTGGTTGAATACCCAGGAGGCAGTTCCCAAGCAACCCTGAAAAAATCATCCTGTTTGGATTTTTTTTATAAAATTATATCTTTATTGGATTATTATGTCATGAAATTCTGACATAATTTTTAAGTCTAAACTATTTTCTTTAATAACAAAATCTATCGAATTATATTACGACCTGTTTGAAATAACATAGGTTTCCAGTTAAATAAATCAAGTAAGTAATACAAAGTATAGATTTTTTAGTGCAACGAATGTAATGAAATTGTTTCGGTGTAACTTTTATTTGAAACTTCATTTTATAACACCCTGTATGTGATAGTTCATGATATTACCATTAATTGAATATCTCAATTATTATTAGATTGCTCTTGTAAGTTATTCAAAATGACTAAAATTTAAAGGCTTGTCGGAATGAAAAAAAAACCTTCAACGATTATTATTATTTACTGAAATATTGATGTAAATAAATACTATAAATTTTATCAGTTTTTTTCCAGTTATCTAGGAATTGCGAAACCTTAATGACAATTTTTCAAAGTATAAAACGTTTAATTATAATGATTGATCTAAATTAATAGGTACCAACTAATTAGTGGTAATTAAGTTGTACAGAATAAAAACAAGTTTTGTAAGCGGTCTTATGAATTATGTATATCCCCCGACTTATCTTGATTTTTATAAAAAAATGTAAGAAGTAATATTTAATTAAGCTGATCTAAGTTAGTTCTAAAAATTTTCTTAAATTCTTTATTATTAATAATNAATTTTACTGAATGGGCCTATTGTGATTATGCGTAAAAAGTATTTCCCACAAGCAAAATTTATGTCTTGAATCAGCAGTGTTATGATTCCGATATTTTATTTGTGTAGCATTTATAATTATAATAATAATAGCTTTATTTGCTCAACAGTGTACAAGCACTCATAATTTCGATATATGAATATGAACATAAGAGAAAACCTTGAACAAGAAGTACTTTGAACTAATTTAATAACTTCATTAATAATTGTAGAGTTGTTGATATCAAATAAGTGCGCAATGCTATTAAAATTTTTACTCATCATATTAGTGGTGACTTCAAAATAATATTAGTTCTCGCTCTAAAAGTGTGGAAGGTAATACTTTGCCTAGAATGGTGTATGGGAGTATTAAAGGCAATTTCCCCTATAGTACAGTCATTGAAGCTTTTCACCTCCGAGTTCTTTGAAACTGAACCGATCCACTTGAAATATGGCAGATAGTTAGAGAAAGGGTCAATGAACATTAGTGACATAGCGCCGATTGACGCTTCCACCCTGTTGGAGGTTGACACCCCTTCTCGGGGGTGGACATTTTTTTTTTAAATAACGCTGGAAATCGATAGAAAATCAAATCTTGAGCAAAAAATATTAGAAGAATTTTTTCGAGAAATCAATAGTTTTTAATTATACATGATTGAAAACTTGGAATTTTGAGCGAAAAACTTCTTCAAAGTATTTTTCGCGAATAACTCAAAAACTACGCACTTTAAAAAAAGTGTAATGAACAAAAATGTAGCAAATAAATAAACAAAGAATCGTTTTTTAAAAAGTGTTGTACGTCCTATACAAAGCGAAATATGGTTAGTGGAAGGGGACTTGTTTTGGGGGGAATACTCGAATCGATGTATTCAACGTAAAATAACGGAAAAAGCATTAATTTTACGTGTATAACGCTCCTGAAGTTTTTGTAGTACTCAAAAGGACCTTCAGAATGAGCACTTATAAAAGTTAATTAGCGCAAAAATGAAGGAGTTATCGTCAAAAACAGATGGGTTGCTTACAGTTTTTAAGGAAAAATGAGCAGTAAACGCTGTACCATTTCCATCAGAATTAAAATTAATCGTAGACCCTTTACAATTAGTTTTGCTTTAGTATTTCTCATACGATCCTGAAGTTAGACCGGTTTAGAATGCGTATTTTTTGAATAAAGTACGGTAAAAGTTGAAAACTTATTTTTCATTATTCAAAAAAAATTGCCTTATTTATATAATAACTCTGAAATTATGAAAGATACGTAAAAATGATAGACAGCAAAAATGTTGCTTTTTTTTTCAACAAATATTTTGCTATTTTTATTCCTATAGCATAAAAAATAAAGTAAAATATTTTTTCATAAACAATATAAGGGAATTTTTATTTTAAATTATTGCACAATTATAGCATTCCAAGATTTAAAATGTAATTTTTTATAATTTTTTAGCATAGGGGTGATTTATAAGGGTTGAAAAGCGTTATGAGATACTTTCATAAGCAATGAGGGAATTTTTATTTTAAATAATTGCACGATTTAATCATTCCAAATCTTTAAAAAGCAATTTTTTATCATTATTTTTTGCATAAGGGTTAAATAAAGGGTCGAAAAGATCAAATATATCATAAAACATGTTCGAGAATATGGTACATTATTTAATCTTTGTGCTTGAACAAGATTTTTATTAATAAAATGCTTCAAACTAAATTTTTTCAATTTTTTTCACTTAGGGGTAGTTTTTACCCCTAAAAACCAAAAAGCGTCAATCGGGCTTATATCACTTTTGAACTTGAGCCTAACATGAGCCTTATTCTAAATATTCATGCAAATCCATGCAGTTTCAAAGAATTCGGAGGTTACAGCTGATTTTCAGCTTCAATGACTGTAATACTAAAATTTCAGGACTATCGATTCCGACGAATCATTATCCAGAAATCTATATAAAAATTTTAGGGAAATACGTTTTATTCTTAAATTCGTTAAACCTATTCGTTAAATAATTATAATCTATCCCCCTTACAGGATATTGACCATCGACCTTTAGAGCCAAATATTTTGAGAAAAAAAAATTAATAATAAGAAAGAGGTGTTTTATATTCGTTATCAAAGAATTATGGTAATTTTTAAAATCCACTTTATGAAATCTAACAACAAAACACTGTTTGTTAAAGGAATTTGACTAAGTTATTCGTACTCACTGTCGAGCCCTTCTCTAATTTCTGCCACCGAGATTTCCCTCAAGTTTTTAATGGGCTTTTTCTGTGGAAAAGCGTTGACGAACGTCACCTGATGTCCCCTATCCGCCAGTTCTTTGGCTAGCCGGAAGCCCAGGATGAAGTGGCTGTGAGAACCCATCGCGAACACCGCCAAAATTCTCGCTGCATGGCTCAGAGTGACTAGTGCGCTTACTGCAAGTAATGCAGGTACTATGCACCGCATGTTCAGATGGCTCAGCTAGCGAGTCGATTGGAAAAGTGCAGTGATGTTATTAGGCGATTTATTATATACGGAAACAGATTATGGATACACTGGAAAAACGTAACGGTTGGTTCCATTTAAAATAACAAAATTATGTAGCGCCGACGCGTTTTTTTATAATTTTTACAGTTGCAGAGTTGCAGAAGAATTCCTCTTAGGTGGAACACCCTGCAGGAATCCTTTAACTTAACGAACTTTATTAATTATTTCAAGGAATATTTTTGTTGGTATAAAATCGAAAGGTAAATGAAAATTTGTAGGTAAATCCAAATTGATATAACTAGTCGATGCACTCTTACTAGGCTGAGATGTAATTGAGTATATTATTACTTTACGCACTTAATAATATGTTGACAATGCAATTCAACAAATAGTTATCGACGAACAAATTGTTTTTTTAATATCAAACATGGCATACGTGCGAAAAGTCGATATGATGTTTTAATTTTTATTATTTATTTTACACAGAAAAGCATATAAGAATTTTTTCTCCCCTTATTAAGACCTTGAACATTTACCCTCTATTCGTGATGATTTCATCATAATTGAAGATAGCAAATTGATTAATTACTTCTAAATAATAGTAAGTTTGATTGTGACGTTCTGAAAACTACTCGTATATCTGATAAAACTATTTTTTATTTATTCTTGTGTTTACTGGACATGCAATGGTCGTGACTGAGGTTTGCATGTAAACAATATTTAAAATTATAAGAATAGGTATATATTTTTGTGTAAATACAAGTTACTCAACATAACTTTTGCGATATAGCATTTACACCTGCTTCAAATGACTCGTACGCAATTAAATTATATTCGGTTGCTTTCTAATTTACAAAAAGTTAAAAAAATAAATAATACGTATTAACGTAATTTATTTTTATTATTTTTTCACTCGTTTTATTTTTTTTTTATTTAAACTATTAACAATATGTCTTAGTATACCCATAAAAGATAACAACAAATATTCTGGATACGATAACGACAACACTGAGGATACATCCAACAGCAGCCTTGGGGTCCATTTCAGGTTTAATGCGGGTGACATGTAATGTGGCGCCCTCTTATGCCTGATGACGTATTCAATCCAAAACATCGCTTCGTCCATTTGCTTCACAGGTTGATCGTGCATTATCCTCGAGCGCATTTTTTCATCATCTCTATATCTAAAAGAAAAAGTGCAATTAAAAACGTTCCTTAAAGAATTTTTTTTTTAATCTAGTCTAGTGCAGATCATTATCCATATGTTATGAGAAAAACACAGTTAAAAGGTTATAAAAAATGGATAGATGAAGTGTAGAATTTCTAAAGTGAAAAACTTTTTATAGTTCTAAACAGTTCGAACGTTTTGTGAAATAAATTTGAAATATAAAATCAAACTTTAACGCCCAGTAAAACCACTAAAACTATTAAAAATACGAGCATCACAGAAGAATGACATACTACCTTGCCGATTAACACTAGAAATAAGCATCATTAAGATCAGTAACTATTGTCGTAATCACTATCACTGACGCTATCACTGCTGTCGCCTAAAGGTGTGAAAAGTGGTTCTATTATAACTTTCTTGTTCTTCTTCTACAAGCATAATATATATAAATATAGGCAAATATTCGTGCAGGTAATAAAAGGATGCTCCAATGAACGACATATCACCATTTCCATGCATACACCACCGCTGTCCACATGGAAGGTTATATTTCTGCATGCGCGCCAACTAATTGAGAGTTTGCCAAGTTATATGTCGAGAAAGGTACTTGGAATAAGACCCCAATCTGTTGGTTTCATATTGCAAGTTAAATCCAACTGACAATTCAATGATAATGTGATAAAAGTGGTGGTATATATGGTGCTTTTAGAGACTGGCAAGTTTATAAACAGAAAAAAAACAAGGAATAGACTTTCTACTACATTATTTGATGTGCATTTGTAAAACTTCGTTGGGTAAATATTTTCACTTTGATGTATTTTCTTAAATTTTATATTTGATGTTACTGTTTAGTTCTAACATTACTGCGTTGCTATACAGGGTGATTCAGAACTTATCAAAAAAAAAAAAATTCTGTATGTACAGGGGATCCTTACAAATACAATTTTGTAAAGAAAAAATCAAAAAGGTCAGTTCGAAATTGATTTAAAAATACACTTCTGCACGGCACTGGAAACTGGTCCACTGTAAAACCTGACCTGGCACAATGCGACCGGTATGGCGGCGTTGTGTTTTTAAATAATAAAATCATTTGACATACCCGATGCTGCAACAGCAATTGTTAAAAATTTTATCCACTCACGTGTAAACACATTTGGGTCCGTCTTACTCACTTTCTACGAACTAACACAAATGATGTCTTGCTTCACCATAATACAAATACTTCACCATAATACAAATGTTGTCTTGCTTCACCATAAATTAAAACGATATCCATCAACTCTGAGTTGCTATACACGCAAGCCATTTTTGACACTAACTACTAAAAAACTGATGTAAATAACACAGATAACAGGTACAAACTACCGCAACGACGGATTTCAGTATTAGGAGTCACATGGCTGTCCACGCGTATTGCGAATGACGCTAGAGACTACAGTTGTCCAGCTATGTAGTGGTTTAATGTGCTATAACTTCAATAATTTTTTTCTCAGAAACTATAAGGATTTTACAAAATTTTTTTTTACAATATTGACTCTATTTCTCATGCCGCATCTATTCCCAAATTTTTTTGGAAAAGTTGTGAATCACCCTGTATATAAAGTATAACCATGTTCATATTTGCATTAATATGCTGAGTACGATCCTGTCGTGTGTTAACGACCCCTAGTCATTAGGATAGCTGTTCTTTACTTGATTGAAGAAGACTGGAAGTCTTAAGAGAGGAACACGGTGGTAAAGCTTCTATCTTCCCGAGCTACCCTACGTAGGTATGTGATGAAAAGAATAATATTGGGATGAGCTGAAAAAGTGGGAGTTTCGAATTTTTTATCTTACATTTTCTTATAGAAATTTTGTGTGGTTTTGGTTGGAAAAATTTGTTTCATTTCTAAATTTCAAGATTTTTTTTATTCCTTCCGCCATATTCAGATTTGTAATTAGAGAATTTATGTGTTTGTAATTTGCTTCTTTTCTCTTTTTGAGTCCTCAACCGATGTCATTCAATTTTTAAAAATCAACTAATACGCTAAACTAATCAATTCGAACAGACGAAAAAAATATTCGATGCGAAATGGATTTTGAAGGAGAAGACTTTTTAAAGTCTCATAATGAGTTTTGTGAGGGAAAAATCCAGGGAGACTAGTGTAGTCTCCATGGAAAAATCCTTCGTGACATATCATAATTTCAAATATAGTGACAAACCGTACTTTTAGGTTAGGATATCTCGAAAACCTGACGTGATGGAACAAATATGAGATTGAATTCGGATTAAGCGCTTCAAAAATAGGAAGTGAAGTGTTTTGTTCATCAGAAAATACAATTTTAAATAAAACTATCAGCTAAACTTCTACTAGATTAAAATTATATTTCAACCATTGTGTATTAAACAAATATTATTTATTATTATTATTTTAGAATTTAGGGGTTATGCAGACAGATTACAGTGCAGCGTATTCCGCTGTATTTCTGGTGGCCTATAAACAGGCGCAACTTTGATTTGCCAGAAAATAGTAAGGTGGCCATATTCCTGGCCGAGAAATAGTGAAATTTCTGGCGTTTTTAGGTACTGAAATCTTTAAAAGTAAAACGTGTAGAACAAAAGTAAGCACAAAAATAAAATCCTTGATGATTTGTTTATTCATTGTTACCATATAAATTTACTCAAATAAAATAATAACTAAAAAAAAGCGTTTGTTTTCTGTTATCCTAACCCCACATTTTAAGAATTATTTTCACGTACTTATAAATAAAAGTAAACAATTTTATATGTAGGACTAAGCAAGTAAATGTTATAAGAATATTTACATGTGGAATTATATATAAAAAAGCTAGTATTTTCGTAGATTTCAGTACCTAAAACCTTGATGGTTTGATCGTTTTTTGCACCTGTTTATTCGTTTTACTGCGGCGTCTTTGAAAATAACCAGATGGCATGACATAACATTCCTATTATTTGATAAGCTTTAGATTATTCAGTTATTTAAATCGGTTCCTTAAAATGTTTTGAAAGGCATGCTGCTTCCTTCGAAAAGCGACTACTGGTAATTAGATCACAAACCATATCTAGTGTCTGTTTACTTTGATATTGGCAATTTTAATAAATATTTTCAGAACAATAATTTGTTTACAGATAGATACAAATCCAAATTTATGTGTCTTTTGAGGATTACTCAATATTTTGCAATAAAATTTGATGTAGATATGACAGCGGATAGGATAGGATTGTTGGTTACTTTGGTAACTTTTATGTTAGATTGTGAATATACATTTAATAAGCAGATTATATAATTGACATAAATATATTGCATGTTGACAAAGCTGTACAGCAAATAGATATTAAATTGACGATTGTCTTGAATTATTTTTAATATTAAACTTGTGATATCTCTAATCGTAAATTGTGTAGAGGAATTTGCACGAGAGTCACCAAGGTTATTCTCGATTATGTCGTATGAGATACAGGGTGTTTACAAACTAGGGGAGGATTTTTTAATAAGTAGAATGCATTAATGAATAATCAGTAATTAAAATTCATTTTTAAATTAATACTAATCAAAATTATTAAAATTTGCTGGCAATTTTTGGAATCCCTCCCTGCATAAAAAGAAGTAAATACAGTTCAAATTGTGAAAAAAGTGCAACACAAATTTATAAAAATTTTACTAAAACTTGAATTCATCATTGAAGGCAATAACTACACATCAGTCTCTGTGTATTTCATTTACAAATTTCCTAGTTTTATATTAACCACAAGTCATTCTCGTTTATTTTTTTTGACATTTTTGTCTAAATTTCTAAAGACACTTTTTACTAAACAAGAAATAATTGCTACTATCGCAAATAAAACAACAGCTATTGTGAGTATTACATCCAGCAGTAGCCTCTGGTACCACTTCAAATTCAGCGCGGGTGACCTGTAGTGTGGCGCCCCTTTATGTCTGATGACGTATTCGATCCAAAACATCGCCTCATCGAGTTGCTTCACAGGTAGGTCATGCATTACCCTTGAACGCATTTTCGCGTTGTCTCTGTACCTAAAATAAAAAGTTAATGATTTATCTGGATTAATCATTGATTACTTATTATACAGGGTGATTCACAACTTATTTGAAAAAATTTGGGAATAGATGCGTCATGAAAAACGGAGTAATAGTTTCCGAGAAAAAAATTACTGAAGTTGTAGTATTGTCAACCTTTACATCGCTGGGCTGAATACTGAAAACCGATTTTAGTATGCGAGTATTGTTGCGATAGTGTTTACATTAGTTTTTCAAGTGTCAAAAATCGCTTACGTGGATAGCAACTCGGAGTTGATGGATATAGTTTTAATTTATGGTGAAGCAAGACAACATTTGTATTATGGTGAAGCATTTGTGTTGCAAATATTTTTTCATTGTGTCTGTATTATTCTTACTTTGGATTGTTTATCAACTCTTTCAAAGCCCATTCGAACTTCTCTTCCGTGAGTTGCGTGAAAGGGATGCTAAGTGCGAAACCGTGACGAACAGCGTCATTAATATTCTTGTTTTGGTCCCAGTAAACTGGCAGTCCCAAAACAGGAACACCATGATAGATTGCTTCTATTTTTCCTAGTAATCCCACATGGGTGATGAAGGCCACGACGTTTGGATGAGCTGGAATAGGGAGTACAGTTTAGCTTGAAAAGTGCACCTATCGATAAAAAATATTAAGTCTTTATCAAATATTAGATATTTTTATTTCACAAAGTAAACATCAGTAACATACAAACATAATTATTAATATATCATATTAACATTATTTAGAGATATTGAAAATAATATTAAAACTAATAAAAGTAAATTTTTGCAACTTGTAATTAATATGTAAAAAAAGGAACATATTATGTAATATCTGATATGTTTGATAATAATGAAAGTGTACAAAACAGTGATAATAATGATATTGACACTAGATAATTTGTCTAATAATTTTTTTCAAAAATAAATTATTAAATAATAAATAAAAAGATGCAGAATTAATTTGGTAGGTAACTATTGAAAAATAGTAAAAAGTGTTATAAACTAGTTAAACAAAAAATGATCTATATAACTATTATACAGGGTGTCCCTGCAAAGGATGAACAACGCTTGACCACAGGTTCCTTGGATGAAAACAAGACTATTTAGCCTAACTTACCTATATACAAAAGTGCACGCCTACTGAGATACAGCCTTCTAAATATACAACAGATAACTTAGTTTTTTTCAAATAATTTGAAAACTGTTTTTCTTAGAAACTTCAAATTTGGTACACATATTTTTTTTATATAAGGGCAATGCAAATATAGAATTTGGTGAGAATACATATACAGGATGTTCTCTTTCTAGTGCCTGTGCGCCACTGGCTATCCCGTAACTTTTTTGTATGTACGCCAATCTCGACAGAATTTATATTTTTAACAATAATCACTATTTTAGAAGATTTTTTGTCTCTTACAAAATTTTGATATCGTTTATGGATTTCGAGTGAAATTGGCATTTTTTACACATTAAATAATATAAAATCAGTTTAAGATAAATAGAACATTCTAGTACGAGGTGCCATATAACAGAGAAACAAATTCATAACAATAATTAAAAGGTTCTGTGTCAAGCTAGCTGTGATTTAATTTTAGCTTACTTTGTTTTTTATTGCAATTTATACTTTTGCTGAACAAACTGATATGTTAGTAGTTTTGGGTTATTGTGAAGGAAATTGTTGTGCTACTGTTCGAACATATGCTGAAAGATTTCCTAATCGAAGAACTCCAAATCACAAAACATTTGCTAATGCGGAGAGACGCCTTCGGGAAACAGGACGTTTTTTACCTGTAACATTAAATCGTGGATAATGTACGGGCGGAATTATTCAGCTGGAGGAACAAATTTTGGAAAGGGTCGAAGAAATTCCTCAGGTAAATAAAAGGCGTTTAGCGGCAGAGGTTGGCTTTCAAAAAGTTCCTTTAATAGAGTATTAAAAGACCAGTTATTACAGGTTACAGGTATTAGAGGGTACCTACATGTAGGTATTACAGGTTATTAAAGGTCTAACAGGTGGATAGGTAGAGGAAATAGGAATACTTTAAATTGGCCACCTCGATCCCCGGACCTAAACCCATGTAATTATTTCATTTGGGGAGCGTTGAGGACCACAGTTTAAAATAACTTTTCAATAAATACAGAAAACGAATATGGGAAAGAATACAACATGGAATTAATGTTATGAGAGGTAATGCACAATTATTTGATAATTTCTAATTTTCGAAGAACTAATGTTTGCGTTTAAGCACAAGAAAGTAACTTTGAGCATTTACTGTAATATTATTTTAATGTGATTACAAATATCAGTTTATTTAAAATGTTAATGTTGCCTTTCTTACATTATTAGTTGATATTGTTTATTTAAAATATTAGTGTTGATTTTTATTTTATTGATTGATAATACTAATACCAAAAATGTGTAGTTATTGTTTTAATGTCACATTTTTTCATTATTATTCCCTGATTTGAGGCTGCAGTTATAAATTATTTTTTATAAGTCGGAATTTTTGCCTATATTTAATGTATAAAAAACGCGAATTTTACTCGAAATCCATAAACGATATCGAAATTTTGTAAGAGCAAAAAAATCTTCTAAAATAGTGCTTATTTTAAGAAATATAAATTCTGTCACTGACATACACAAAAAAGTTACAGGACAGCCAATGGCGCACAGGCACTAGAAATAGAACATCCTGTATATGTATTCTCACCAAATTCTATATTTACATTGACCTTATATAAAAAAATAAGTGTACCAAATTTGAAGTTTCTAAGAAAAACCGTTTTCAAATTATTTGAAAAAACCTAGGTTATTTGTTCCATATTTAGAAGGCTATATCTCAGTAGGCGTGCACTTTTGTATATAGGTAAGTTAGGCTAAATAGTCTTGTTTTCATCCAAGGAACCTGTGATCAAGCGTTGTCCATCCTTTTCAGGGACACCCTGTATATTAATTGGTCCACCTGTTGAATGGCGTATCCAATAAATAAATAGATTAATATTTACCTAGAGCATCTTGCTGAGGCAACCAATTCAATATCATTACGTTGTCGGGCTTGCCGGGTAACTCTGTTTCAAATTTCCACAACACCTTCTGCTTCATTTTGGAAAATACTTTAAGAACGGCCTGTTTTTTCGCCTGGGTAAAGTCAGCGCTCTTCAGATTAGATCCCATAGAGAAAACTATGGCTCCATCCTTAGCGCTGTCCAAAAATTCCTGAATATCTTTGGGTAGAGGTGTAGGGGGTAACAAATGGTAACCTGCTATTTCCTTCATGTTAGGTTGAAGCGGGGAAGGGTCCCTTACGCTTACGTGAGAGGTAAGGAGAAGGAAACTGGCGTTGTACAGGATATCTCTAAGATAAGGCGCTCCAGGTACAGTCCTTTGTAAAATATCATTTTGGTTTGGTATACTTACGAGCTGAACGTATAGTTCTCCCACAATGTCATAGTAGACGTTGAGTATTCTTTCCCAAAATGTCATGTCTGACCCGAAGTCTGCTAGTAAGTTGGGAACGTATGTAGGTTGGGAGGGATTGGCGAAGAGGTGGTTGTTGAAGACCGTTGGAGGACCAGGCGCCAGAATAACTGAAGGACATTTGAATTTGTGCTGGAATATCGCCATGGCTTCGTTCATGAAGTGCTCTATTAGCACAAGGTCGAATTGTTCATTGGATTGGAGAAGCGTTTGGACTTCCTTAACCTTCAAAACGCTCTCGGTGTAAGAAGCACCGAAATCGGATACCCATTTCAACTGTCCGATGTACGACATCGTGCCCATTTCGTAAAGTTGTTTCTTTTTCTCTAAAATAATAAAAACCGCATAGATGTAATTAATTAATTAATTTCTAACCCAAAATAATCGAGAAACATAAAAATCAATTTTTTTCAAATATTTAATATCCATATATCGTCTTAATCTGTAACGACAACAATATCTGACGCAAAAATTTTGGCATTTTGGGAAACGATTCTGTATGATTTAAAGTAATTTATTGGATAATTTTATTTCTAAAAACATAGTAGGCGTTGTCAAGATCAAAAAATTATTTTTTGTGTAGATAAAGATCTTTTTAATCTAAGTTATTCCCAATTATATTGTCCATATACCTTGTTTGAAGTCTTCCATATTTTTTGATTTGACAAATTGTTGAAGATCAAAACAAAATCCTATTATCACGAAATTTGGACATTAATAATATAAGTTTCAATTTTAAAGAACTTTTACCTATTTTGCAAAAAAGGTAATTCAACATATTTACTACGGAGAAACTGAAAAAAAGTCAGTTACTTCCAATTTTGGAATATGAAAATAGATTTAAATTTTGAACATGAAATTTTTTTATACAGGGTGGACAATGAAAATGATGGACAACGCTTGACCACAGGTTCCTTGGATGAAAATAAGACTATTTAGCCTAACTTACCTATATACAAAAGTGCACGCCTACTGAGATATAGCCTTCTAAATACAGAACAGATAACTTAGTTTTTTTCAAATACTTTGAAAACCGTTTTGCTTAGAAACTTCAAATTTGGTATACATATTTTTTTATATAAGGGCAATTACATTGCAATGTAAATATAAAATTTGGTGAGAATACATATACAGGATGGTCTATTTCTAGTGCCTGTGCGCCACTGGCTATCCCGTAACTTTTTTATGTGTACGACAATGACGACAGAATTTGTATTTTCAAAAATAAGCAATATTTTAGAAGATTTCAGCCCCTTACAAAATTTTGATATCGTTTATGAAATTCGAGTAAAATTGGCATTTTTTACACATTAAATAATATAAAATCAGTTTAAGATAATTAGAACAGTCTAGTACGAGGTGTCATTTATTTATTTATTTATTTATTTATTTATTTATTTATTTATCACATTTGGAATGCAAACAGGCTTGCTGCCCAAAACTGCATCCACTAATACAATTGTGAACATAGTGTAAACAAAACAAAAAAAAAAACTAACAGGAAATGGATACATCAGTGAAAAAATGTACAAAAATAAGTAAAAAGTTAATTAAAGGAACTGAATATTCCTAATAAATCTTTTGAAACTGCTAAGAGTAGTATTAAAAATATCAATATTAGAGTCGACAAAGTACAAATTATAATTAACAGTCATTCTGTACAATGGACTATTTAGTCCGAGATTGGTATGTTGGGTTGATATGCTAAATAAATTAGTCGTCCTCGTATTTCTAGAAGGAACATGAAAATTCAGTAAAGAAATTAAATAGGGACAGTCTAATAAATTATTCAATAATTTAAATAAAATAATAAAATCAGTGTGGATCCTTTTTTGTTCCAGAGGGACGATATTAAATTGTTGTTTAGTAGCTGATATGTCATCAACATTATAAATACCGTTGACCCTGAGATTAAGGTAACGAACAAATCTATTCTGGACTCTTTCCAATCTTAATTTGTATATGTTATAATTCGGACTCCATTCTGTCATATAACAAAGAAACAAATTCATAACAACAATTAAAAGGTTCAGTGTCAAGCTAGGTGTGATTTAATTTTATCTCAGTTTGTTTTTTACTGTAATTTATACTTCTGCTGAACAAACTGATACGTTATTAGTTTTGGGTTACTGTGAAGGAAATTGTTGTGCTACTGTTTGAACATATGCCGAAAGATTTCCTAATCGAAGAATTCCAAATCATGAAACATTTGCTAATGCGGAGAGACGCCTTCGGGAAACAAGTCGTTTTTTACCTGTAACATTAAATCGTGGATAACATACGGCTGGAACTATTCAGCTGGAGGAACAAATTTTGGAAAGGGTCGGAGAAATTTCTCAAGTAAATACAAGGCGTTTAGCGGCAGAGATTGGCTTTCAAAAAGTTCCGTTAATAGAATATTATTACAGGTTACTACCCTAACAGGTGGATAGGTAGAAGAAATAATGCCTCTTTAAAGTGGCCACCTCGATCTACGGATCTAAACCCATGTAATTATTTCCATTGGGGAGCGTTGAGGACCACAGTTTATAACTTTTCTGTAAATACAGAAAACGAATAATGGAAAAGAATATAACATGAAATTAATGTTATGAGAGGTAATGCACAAATTATTGGATAAAATTCATTTTAATTTTCGAGGAATTAATAGTTGCGTTTAAGAACAAGGAAGTCACTTTGATTATTTACTGTAATATTACTTTAATGTGATTACAAATATCAATTTAGGTTTATTTAAAATGTTTATTTTTTTTTACATTATGAGTTGATATTCTTTATTTAAAATATTAGTGTTGATTTTAATTTTATTGATTGATACTAAGAATAAAAATGTATAGTATTTTTTTAATGTGACGATTTTTCATTGTTGTTCCCTGCTTTGAGGCTGGAGTTATAAATTATTTTTTACAAATCGGAATTTTTGCCTATATTTAATGTATAAAAATGCCAATTTTACTCGAAATCCATAAATGATATCAAAATTTTATAAGAGCAAAAAAAATCTTCTAAAATACTGCTTATTTTTGAAAATACAAATTCTGTCGTCATTGTCGTACACATAAAAAAGTTACGAGATAGCCAGTGGCGCACAAGCACTAGAAATAGAACATCCTGTATATGTATTCTCACCAAATTTTATATTTACATTGCCCTTATATAAAAAAATATGTATACCAAATTTGAAGAAAAACGGTATTCAAATTATTTGAAAAAAACTAGGTTATCTGTTCTATATTTAGAAGGCTATATCTCAGTAGGCGTGCACTTTTGTATATAGGTAAATTAGGTTAAATAGTCTTATTTTCATCCAAGGAACCTGTGGTCAAGCGTTGTCCATCCTTTTCAGGGACACCCTGTATATTGTATGAATAAGGCATTTTACCTACCCTGAAAGTATATCTATGTTGTTCCTGATAAGGCTTAGCTTTCTTTCACAGAGAAAATTCATTACGAATATTTTTTATCCTACAGAATTGATCACTAAAACTATAAATTTCCGCACAAAAATTTATTGTCAGAGACATCGATTGTTAAGACTATGTTTAACACCCTGTACATATTAAATATTGCATAAAAATTGCGTAATGATACATAATGAATACATGAGAAGTTAGCCATTTGTGTTGCAAAATTAGTAAGTAATATCCAAAATCATGCATTTATTTTATTATACAGTGTCCCGTTCATGTCTCAAAAAAAAATTGTGTGCAAGTTCATCATGGGAAAATAATGGGGGTAGTTCATATAACGTTTTTTATAGGAACTTGTCATGTTATTTTAACGTCCCTTGTACAAATCCGAGAACAGGGGTCACGCTTAAATGGGAGACAATTGGGACGCGTTTTTTGACGTCTAAGAAACTAATTGATATTAAGCGATTTTTTTTCCAAAAAACAGATTACGTATTCTCGTTCAGAACGCCTTATCACCAAGTTTCATCAAATTCGATACATTTTTAGGCGAGTACTACTTGGCAGTATATTGCATTAATAAAAACAGTAGTATCACAGTTAGATAGTTTTTTACCCTATATTCTAAAAAAAAAAATTTTGAAATCGGCCAAAATATAAAGAAGTATCACATTTAAGTGCGACACTCTGTACATATAAGCTCGGGATATTTATTTTTGCATTGCACCTAAAGTAAAGATTGGCTGAGAAAAGGTCATATCATTATATAGTTCTAAATGTATAAATAATTACAATCTAATTTGATATAACTGTTTGTAGGGTTCAAATTTGTTTTTATTTCATACTTATTTGTCGGAAATAGAAGCGAAATAGCTTTGACAGATTGAAATTATTAAGAAATTGGAGTAGAATTTTTATTATTTTATTTTTAAATTACTTAATTTTATAATCACCTCAAGTAAAATTAAAAAATGGTATTAATATCAAACAAGATATCAAAAATTTGTGTTTTTACCCCTGCCTTTTTCATTTTTGTACCTTTGTTCTGATAAACAAGAAAATCCTCTCTTGTGGTTCATAATAAGCTGAAAATTTCTATTCTAACTTCGTCTTTAAAGATAAACTATTAATATTCTCAATTTTACGGGTATATCTAAATTAATTTCTATACAATGTACAATTTTTAACACCCAACACACACATTTTGCAAAAAAAATAATTTTTACTGCATTATAGAGACAATTTATATCAAAAATCTTTTTATGTAATTATTGTGCTTTTCTAACTTGACTGATTTTGTAGTTCCTTAAATTTGTTTTGTATTTTATACGAACGCGAAAAATGTTTTAACAGCAAAGTTTTGAAAGATGAAATAAAAACAACGAAATGTCGACAATGTGTAACAGTGGTTATTTGTTATACTTTTTGACCCAATCTAGCTCAAAGGAGAAAGCAAGAAACTGGTTGCAACTCCTCGTATTATTGCAGTCCATGGAAAAAACGATTTTATCTTACAATTCAGTACATCTGTGGGTAGGTATATCATTATTTCAAAACACACATATCTCCTTTTTGCATCGAATCTTCAATTCCTTAAAGTTGCTATACAAAAATATTAAAATTAATCTGAAAACTTTAATTTTTTCAAAACATTTGTCGCCTTAACAATTTTACATACATCCACGCTTCTTTAGAAAGTTGCAACTATATTTTAAACAGAACTACTCACCTTCCAAATCTCCCTTAATTTCGGCGACTGAGATCTCCCTCAAGTTTTTAATGGGCTTCTTTTGCGGATAAGCATTGATGAGTGTCACCTCGTGACCTCTGTCTGCCAGTTCTTTGGCCAGCCGGAACCCCAGGGTAAAATGACTGTGAGCACCCATCGAGAAAACGGCCAGGATTTTCGCCCCATGGCTTAGAGTAACTAATGCGCTGGCTGTTAGAACAAGCACGGGAAATGTATGCCGCATGATTTAGACTGCTTTACTGACGTTGTGACGATGACACTGTTGATTTGCCCCTTCTGTGATGCCTGATTATCTGTTCTAGACTAAATTACTGATACACTGGGAAAACAAAGTGATTTGTAGTAGATAAACAAGTGTGTATCAAAATATTGTTTACTTTTGATAGAGTGGAGTTTTTTTTAGTAAAATTAGCAAATAACGTATTTAAAAAAATAAAATTTTCAGTTTCGGTAATTGTTATACTCCAACTATTACTGTAACTACTACTGTAAAAGGCAAATTCATTTTAGTTTATTAGCTTGTTAATTGTTAACTTTATGGAAATGTGAGAGAAATTCAAAATAATTCAGTACCAAATTCGATCTTTATGGCTTTGTTAATTGACCCACCTAATATTTACTAAACTAAATTCTAAATAACTTAAAAAAATATTTGATCCTTTATAAAAAGGCACTTTACGTACACAGTATGGAGAAATGTGTTTTCAAACTTAGAACAATTTTGAAGTTTTTTTTTAATTAAATTTTTTACTTTATACTTTACTTACTCAAAGAATGTTTTTCTGTTTGAGACTATTCATATTTAATTTTTCTGAAAAAAAATTGGTACTACACCATTACCTACGTAAGGTGCCGATAAATTGTTTTTTTTATACCATGTAAATACAAGTTAAATAAGGTTAAATAATAATCAGTAATAAAGTGACTTACCAATGGTTGGTATGGAAAAGGAAAAACTTAATTTCACTTTTCTCGTGATCGGCACTACGCTTTTGTATAATTATGTATATCGCATCACATGGGCTCTTCGGCGTGTCTATCTCTGCCACTGTCGATCCGTGCCGCTTATTTGGTAGTCGTAAAATTAAACAAACTAAATGTGAGGGCTCGTATTTACATGTGCAATTAAATATAATTTTATTTTAATAGTATTATTCTTATTATTTTAATAGTCCTCGAAACAAAATTAAACCCATGATTAAAAAAAGAAAAAAGTAATTACAGTAAAAAATACTTATCACTAATGTATGTATAAAGGGTAGACAACGGAACACAGATAGTTTATAGTTATTTTGTTTTTTAAATATTGTAACACAATATCGAATGAAGTTTTTATATTTTTAAAGTTTTTCCCAGTTAGAAAAAAATTTTTTGTCTATTTTTGCACAATTAAATTAATTATATTAATGTACATATCTTCTCAACATTCATTCATGTGAGAATTATTTGAAGTAATATTTTTTCTGGTGTGCATGGATTTAATCTTGGCAAACCTAATTAAATCAAAACTAACGTTAAACTGTCATTAAACAAAAAACAATTTAACATAGGTACACATTACATACCTACTCGTATATATAATGATAAAATAAAATTAAATTCTAATTAATCGTTCGGTAGACTTATTTTTTATCGGGCTATTGGGTATATTAGAGATTAACAGATTCAGTAATTATCTTCTTAAATTAATCATTATGTGATGTCTGTAAGGAATTTAAAAATAAAGTCTGACTACTTTATCACTTTGCGACATTGAATTGCGCAATTCGCTCTGAAAAAAAAAAAGATTTGGAATTAATAATATATTTATTTGCGTATACTTACGATTAAAATTTGTTTGCTTAAAATAAATGATTTTTGTTGAAAGTGATTTTACTTAGTTCAAGATTATGGCACTAGAGCATTAAGGATATATTTGTCAGGAACAATGGGCAAAATTTTTAAATAAATAACAAATAAATATAAAATACAAGTAAATTTATAGCACGAATAAAAAAAAATAACGTTAACTTTGAAATGTTTATAAATGAAAATAGAAATAATAGTTTTATAATATTAATAATAATATAATACATTATGTCTGCTTGGAAATGAAAGAGAGTAATAAAACCCCGAGATAAGAACCGGCCATGGGCGTGGTAATATTTCGTTTCAGGTAATTATCGGGTAACACTATGCTAACAAAAATGACAGGGATTGGAAAATCGACTATCTACAGACTTTTAAAGGAAACAAAAGATGAACAAGATACTGTAAATCCCCCAAAATCATCTACAGGGAGGTCAAAAGTCGTTATAGATGATTTCTTCAAAAATGTCATTCGCAGAAAAGTACACTCATTTTATTTTAAAAAAGAAATACCAACGATAAACAAAATTTTTAGTGAACTTTCAGAGGACAACGATTTGCCAAAAATCAGTAGAAGCAAATTATGGGCCGTCTTACGAGAGTTGAATTTTTGCTGGGAAAAGCAGAACAGGAAGTCAGTTCTTCTTCTTTTATTACTAATTTTATCGTGCGATCGATATTTTTCAAGTTAAGGGGGAAAATAGTGACAAAGTATAATTATTGAATTATCTCGTTTGTTATTGACTATACGAAATAAATGTACATAAACAAAGTTGGAAAGAATTATATTTTCTACAATTTCGATCACTTTGATTTTTTCGCTACTACCAATATTTAAGGTCCTACGCTTGCGGTAAAGACGCGAGCGTAGGACCTTGCGGGAGTTGGTTTCAAAGGAATTGTTTTTGCTCAATATCTCGGCCATTTTCAACTTTACAACAAAAATAGTAAGAACTTAAGTTGTTGCAAATGCGATTTTCTACAACTTCTTTCGTTACAAATTTTATCGTGCTATCGATATTTTTCAAGGGGCAAAATAGTGACAAAGTATAATTATTGAATTATCTCGTTTGTTATTGACTTTACGACATAAATATACATAAAAACAAAGTTGGAAAGAATTATATTTTCTACAATTTTAATCTCTTTGATTTTTTTGCTACTACCAACACTTAAGGTCCTACGCTTGCGGAGACGTCAGGCCTATGGAATGTTGATCCCTTGAGTTTAGTTAGGCTTGCCATAGGCGTAGGACCTTAAATTTTGGTAGTAGCGAAAAAATCAAAGTGATCAAAATTGTACAAAATATAATTCTTTTCAACTTTGTTTATGTACATTTATGTCGTAAAGTCAATAACAAACGAGATAATTCAATAATTATACTTTGTCACTATTTTCCCCCTTAACTTGAAAAATATCGATCGCACGATAAAATTTGTAATAAAAGAAGTTGTAATAAATCGCATTTGCAACAACTTAAGTCCTTACCATTTTTGTTGTAAAGTTGAAAATAGCCGAGATATTGAGCAAAAACGATTTTTCCTTAAATTCAAAATGGCGGCTGACGCAGGGGTGGAATTCAGTCGCGATTCTGAATTTACAGTACTATTGACCCCCCCTAAAGGTTAGAACAATAAAATTGTGGTCCCCAATTTTTTCCCGGTTAAATGACAACCCGACTGGGTTAAATTTGTATAAATATGAGTCTATAAAATTTTGTGAAGTTGGCGTAACGCTTTCTTGAAGTATTGAAAACATTGATATTATTTTAATTTGAAGGTCTACTCGTATATCCCCAAAACGTGGAATTCTGGATCAAAATTTATAAAAAATATTTGATATACAGGCTTTCGTGGCAGTTGTCAACTATGTAAGATGATCCCCGGCCAGGAAGGCTTTCGACTTCAACTGATCATTCTTACGTTCAGTCAAAGAAGTGTTTATTTAGAGCCAACAAGGTTTGTTTATTGAACTCTTTGTCTAAAAATAGGTTTCTTTTTCGTTGGATATTTCTTTTTAAGTGTAAGATGTAACTCTCTTTATAACATACACACAACCTTAAAAATATGGCATGTTATTTTTAACGAACATAAATTATTCGGAGGTAGAAAATCTGCAATGACAATATTTCAACTTTTTTAATGTTTGATCGTGTCAAGCGATATATAATGTCTAAAGTCTAAAGTAAATTGTTTGCTTTATAAATAACTGAGCCTTAATTTTTAATTTACAGATTCATTTTCATAATTTTTTAATTTGAAAATTTTTACTTCGCATTTTTCGCCAAAATAAGCATAATAATAAAGCACTTTTCCCTGTTAGAATAATAAAAGTAATTTGATAATACTGTTTTATTTATTCCACAATAGTTATGTATCTTCAACACAGTGTAATGAACAATATATGTATATATGTACAATTATAGTTTATCGCTAAGAGGATAGTTGGGCATGGGCAAAAAATAATATTTTATATACATTAACACCTAGATAATAAAAACATTATTCCTTACTTAGTTTAGCTTAAACGCATATTATCACAATATGAGTTCATTATTTTTTTATCGATTTAATTTAAAGCAATATACAATTATCAGGTCTATACAAATATGTCTAACATTGATAACTAACTTTTCGTAAAATATGTAGGTTTGATATCTTAATACTTATACTTTTCAAATATAAATAATACATATTAGTTGTAAATATATTATTTACATACGATATCCCTTAAATGTCTAGATACACTTATCTCTTAGATTTTTAGGACTATTATGATACAATTTTACGTACTTTTTCGCACCCTGCGATTCGCTTTTTTATAAAGGATGTCTCAGAACCTGCACGACAAGCGCAGTCTGAGTTGGTGCACAAAATCCATAAAACAATCAATGTGACCTTTTAAAATAGTAAACCTACGCCACTGCTTAAAAAGTATTTGTATTATGATGAATACTAACTGAATTATACAGGATGAGTTAGATTTGACGTGAGACCAAGAAGATTGTGGCAGTACTTCTGAAAATAAATCGGGTGTTTCGTAGTTTTTTCTAAATATGTTTCCTCTGCGCTAAAATTGAAAAAAAGTATATTATGCAAAACATATGAATATATGTTGTTTTTCCACGAGTCGCTTCTACTCACGAATAATCAATGCTTAGTTTAGTTCAAAATTAATTATAATGCAGAACATTATTAAAAATTTTTTAGTTATTTTCACCTAACAACAAATGTATTCTATTCAAAATTACCGTTGTTGCTTTGAAGATCTGTAGAGTAAAATATTATCCCTTTATTTCAATTTGTTATTAATCGTCACAAAGCATACACTTGGTTTGTATTAGTTATTTAATATACAGGATGACTCACAACTTATCCAAAAGGGATTTTTTTTTGTAAAATCCTTATAGTTTCCAAGAAAAAATTATTGAAGTTGTAGTATTTTCAACCCTTACATCGTTGGGCTACTGTCACTAGCGTTGTGCGCTGTGCGCAATGTACTCTCTTTCCATGTGGCCCTAGGCGATTCCGTATACTGAAATTTTTTTGCGATAGTGTTTACATTAGTTTTATAAGTGTCAAAAATGGCTAGGTAGTATAGCAACTGAATATCGTTTTAATCAATATTTGTGTTATGGCGAAGCATTTGCGTAATGTGAAACAAGATAACATTTGTGTAGTTCGTAGCAACTGGGTAAAACTCTTGTAGGTCCTCAGGTAACGGTTTAGCGTAAGACGTGGCACCTACTATCTGACTTTTTTTATGTTGGGTTACATTGAGGAAGGGTCCTTCAGACCTATATGCGACGTGAGGAGCAGCAAGCTGGTATTGTAAAGTATATCTCGAAGATCAGCTGCTCCAATTATAATTCTTTCGTATTGCTTTTGCTTCGTTCATAAAATTTTTGTAAGTACGAGATCAAATTGTTTGTCGGAGTGTAAGAGTTTCTGAACTTCTCTTCGACCTTTAAAATATCTTCAGTGTAAGTAGATACCCATGATAGTTCCTATGTACGACATTGTACCCGTTTGGTAGAGCTCTGTCTTTTTCTCTAAAAAGCCAGAAATATGTAATACTATAATTTTGTTTGTCATTGATACAAGGAAGATGAAAAATACTACCCAAATTTTTTTTGTTCTCCTATTGACTGCGACTAGTTTACGACTAGTTTCAACTAGTTTGATAATTGCATCGGAAACACAAACTG